TATACTAATAAATAGTCTTACTAAGAACTTTATTAAAACAAAATTTAAGTACTTTAAAGTATTTTTTAACTTATAAAATATATAAATAAAGATTATATATACTAAAAAAAAGGTATTAGTAAAAGAAGAATACTTATAAGCTATTTAAAATTACTATTTATAGCTTATAAGCCTTTACTCTTAGTAAAAGCCTAAAAAAAAAGTTTTTTTAGTACTACTAACCTTTTAAAAGTACTATATACTAGTTTATAAAAAGCTAATATATAAGTATAGTTAATACAAGTATTAACTAACTAATAAGGCTATTAATTATAGCCTAAATAACGTTTACTTAACCCTTATTTATAATAATAATAGCTATACTAAAGGTAAGACTACTAGATAAAGCTAAATTAATTAGTATATTTTTATTAAGTAGTATTAGTACTATTTTACTATACTTCTATATATTATATTAAATATTTCCTTAAAAAAGGGTTTACTTAAATATAATATAGCTTTATAATATACTAATTACTTAACTAAAGATTTATAAAAATAATTAAAACTAAATAAATAAATATTATATATAAAAATATATACTTAGAGCTATATTATTATACTTTATAACTAAGAACTCTTAGGCTAAATAGTAAAACTTAGAACCTTTAATAATTATAATATAAAAGGTCTTATTAAGTATATAATGTTAATACTTAAGGGTCTAGCTACTACTTACTAGTATATACTAACCTAAAGAGTTATTATATAGTATACTCTAAATGTACTATAGATACTTAAAGTCTCTTTAAAGGACAGGCTCTAAGGTCCTAGCGTATACCTCCTTCTTCTCCTTATTCTTCTTCTTCTTCTTTACCTCTTCCCTTAACATAAACCTAAGAGTAGCTATCTCTGTTTAATAGAATTAGTAAGAAGTTTAAGTTAAATAAAGAGAGTATAATGTATTAGCTAACTATTAATTATAAAAGGCCTTTAGGACTATATTAAAGTAAGCTTAGGCACTAAAAAAAAGAAGTAACTTTAAATTATCTTTATTTTTACTTATAGTACCTATAAAGAGGTTAGCTAAAAGAAGAGGCTATAAGCTATCCTTTTTAGTATTAACCTTTTTACTACTATAACCTTTAGTAAAAAAAGTCTACTCTTATATATTAATACTACTTAAGATATAAAGGACTTAGATAAAGAATAAATATATAAGAAAAGAAAAGACTATAAGCTAGTTACTAAGGGGATTAAAGGAGCTACTACTTTTCCTATTACTCTTATATACTTTATTATACTTTTTAAGTTAAGCTATATATATTATAGTAATATAAGTATATATAGTAGTCTTTTTATTAGATTTTAAAGGTATTTATTTTTAAATATTAATATTATATAAAAAGCTTATAATATAAATAAATATATATATATATAATAAAAGATAATAGTATTTTAAATATATAGTTATTATTATTATAAATAAATAAATAAAAAAGGCTTTTTTATTAAATTAAAAAAAAGTAATATTATTAAAAAAAATAAGTATTTAACTTAATAATTAATTAGTTAATTAAAAGCTATTAATCTAATTAAATTATTTAAAAATAATAAGAAGAAAAAAAGTAGTTTTTTTATTATTAATAACTAAATATAGTATTATATAACTATTTCTTTTATATTTATTACTTTAAAAGTAAATATTTATATTTTTATTTATTTTTTTAAAATAATTCTTTTATATATAGCTATTATTAGATATATAATAGTTAAAATCTGTTAATTTACTTAGGGGGGTATATTATAATGCCCTTATGCGTATCGCATAGCCTTGTGAGATTTGCGCTAGGCCTGGATTAACTATTAGTCTGGTCCCTTTGTGTAGATCCACCACGCAGGATACGTATTTATTTGTTTTGGACAAGGCAATCCTGCATATAGAAATCTAAGCCGTTTTCCTTATGTCTTTTCTACCCTAAGTGGTGACTCTACGACAATATGAAAAGTCGATATGAGAAAGGGTCTTTGTTCATCTCTAACCTCCCTATCCCTCTTAGGAATAAGGAAGTCCTTATATAAGGATCTCTGGTGCTACATTAATTGTCGTAGGGTTCTCAGCCCTGGATCCAAGCTCTGAGTTGTCTGTGATTCCAGGGAAAGTCTGCTTGCCTCATGGTGCTGCCCTTAAACAAACTTCATAGTGGCTATGGCTCTAGGGCATCTGTGTTGGCTTCGTAATATGGACCATGAGTGCAGCCATCTTCTTTCAAAGTGACTCACACCTCAAGGTTTCAACAGCCTTGCTTGAAGGGTCAACAAACCCCTTCCTGGTATGCCAAGCACGACCCAGCGACAACTCTAGACATTCGCATCTTTTAGACTTTCTGTTTCCGTGGTGACTCATCTCCACTAATCTGTCTGATGCTTTCACTGGCTACCATTGAAGTCGAGCATGGGTCGGCAGTCTCCTTACGCAATTGAATACTTTATACTGCGTTGGTATATTGAGACCTAGCACAGGCCATATTTGCTATGTTATTGGGCTATGTGGGCTGTGATTTACTTTCCGTGCAGGGCAAATTGATAGGTACCTTGTGTTTGCGGTTTGAAGGCATCGTCCAAAATGAATGCCAATCAAAGCAAAAGTCAAGGATGGACAATCTAGGAATCGAAGCTATTAGCCCGTCCAGATCTCTCCAGATTATGAAGGTCTCTTCGGCTCGTCAAGGTCTCTTCTGTCTACACCTTGGGTGTCGGGTTGTTGATTCTCTGTTGGTGTTGGTCTCACAGGCGGAAATACTCGTACGAGTGGGTAGCGACGATCACGTCAAAGATGGTGATATTGCTGGTTGTTGTTATTGAGAAGTGAAAGGTGAAGCTGAAGGTGGCCGTCAAGAGGATATTGATGGGTGGGCAATCAGATCCTCAATATCTGATTGGCCGACGAAGAAGGTCACCTGACCTCTGCCATCCTTCAGCCACTTGAGGTTGGGGATATCCCAACAGTTGGCTTTGCTGTCCATGATGCTATATCGCTGGAGCTGATCTTCTGTTCTGACATTTCTTCTCTTTGCGGTCTGAATACATTGGTTTACTCGAATACCGTATAGGTTAGCCCCGACGCAGACGGTCGGTTATCTCTAGCGAGTTGAGAGCGCTCTGGCTCTGTGTTGGCTTATGATTCAAGCTAGAAGAAGGCCAGTAAAAAACACCTGTCCGGTCAGATACAAATGGCTGAATGCTGCCTTGTTGACTCATTCAAGAAAATATGTGATACCAGATTACTTTTCCCTGTCCCGTAAAACCATGTTGGACTTGTACTGTTAGTATCTTGAATAGAAAATATGAGGCTTGATAAGCCGTGACAGTTGCCAGCTACCGAAGCGGTATTTTTACAATAACCGACGAGCACCATTTTACAGAAAGTGGAAGCGTGCTCGCGTGTGCTCGGAGAGCGGCCGCCTCAGTCAGCTAAATCAGGACCGCCTGGCTATCCAGAGGCTGCAACATCACCTGCAGAGGAAGATCGTTGAAACCCATACCCAGACCAATCAATGGCCCATGGTCTACTCCGGCTGTCGAGAGGCGACTTGAACAAGACATTCAGGGCAAAAGAGTCCCCAAGCAAGGAACTCCCACCCGGGCCTTGCTTTGATCCTTGGTTTCCCCACAAACCAAGGCTGATTAAGCTTCACGCGATGCATCTGCACGGTCTTGGTCCATCCACTCCGAATGTGACCCAGGTCAAGGAGCACGTAGAGGAGTCTCTGAGTAAATGCGTCCATTCAACGTCGTTCCTCAACATGAGCACCCAACTGTGCAAGAAGCTGTGTAAGCTTCCGTGTTTCAGAGACGTGCACAATCCATCTCTCTAGCCAACCGAGCACCGTAGACTTCGATCATGACCGTGACTTTACCACAGCATTGGGCGGGCAAGCCACAACGTCAACGGCCCTCCCTAGCTTCCCCCAATCGTCACATCCGCCGTTAGAAGTCGAACCGTCTCAGACCCCGGCGCCAGTACCACTGCCAGCTCACCACAACCGCCGAGCACACGACCACCAGAACGCCATCGAGACGCGAGTGGTCCCTCCGCCCTCTCATCATCACGAAGCACCCCTTGCATGTTAGCACAGCCTCCGTTCGGCGCCTACCTAATCTCTCGTTTTCCAGAAATGCACGATGTCATAACCCCCATTCTCCCCTGTCACTCGAGCATCCGTCAAGCCAGACAAGGTCTCGGAGGGTGGAAGGGCAAGACAATTCCCGAACCAGGACCCTGCAGGGCCCGAACCAGCTCGAGAGGTAAACCCGGCGCAAAGAATCTAGGGGTCCTTCCCCAAGAGGCTAGCTTGCCGTCATCAACATCCTCCAATTGGCCAGCTCACCGCGCTTGCGACCCCTGTCCACCACGCTTCCATCGGCTGCCCTTGACGTCACCGACGACGGCGATCTTCGTCCGCCGATCGCCAACAAACAGGTTTGGCTAGCACAGCACCATCCCCGAATCATTCCCAAGCACCGTCGCCATCGAGGGGGATTTGGACTCTTTGGTTGCCAGGCCGGGAATGGGTGACACGGCGCAGAGGTTTGGGAGTGACGACCTTGGCATCATTGTGCATCAATGGCCATGCCAGCCTGCCAACAAACGACCGCTGGCAGGGTCTCGGCACGGGCGCCCGCCATGCGCCGTTCCTTGTGGTGCACTGGACAGGTCACAACAGCGACGCGAGGCATAATGTCATGGTTGGGAATGGGGAATGTCAGGCAGAGGAAATGAGATTCGGGTGCATGTGGACGGGCGAGATAGATATAACCTGTACCCGTCCCCGCCGAGAGTATTCTCTTCCGTCTTATCCAGCATCCCAAGGCTTCACCTCGTCAGAGTCCACGCAATCACCATCCACCATCACCGTTACCAAGGCCTCCAAATCAAGCCTTACCAAGGGAAAACCCTAGTCCATTTTACTACCTCCCTCGTTCTCACGTCACCAAACCACCTTCCCCACAAAATCAAAATGCCATTCTTCGGAGGCGGCCGCCGCGAACCCTCGCCCGAACCCGTCCGAGAACCGACCCCACCGCCCCCGGAACCCCGCCGCCACGGCCTCTTTGGCTCGCGCCGCGACCCCTCCCCGGAGCCCGTCCACCACCAGCCCGTCGCTGAGCCTACGCCCCGTAAACACAGCCTCTTCAGCTCCCGCCGCGACCCCTCTCCCTCCCCTACCACTCGCACGTCCGCAACCTCCCACTCTTCCCTGTCGTCTACGACTTACCACACCTCCCCCGACGGCCACCACAACGGCACCGGCGGCGGCGGCGTGTTCCGCCGCTCCACGGATGCGTCATCCGGCCGCCGCGGCATCCTGCACAAGTTTGGCGGCGCCGGCGGAGCCGTGGAGATGGACCCCAGCATCGTCCAGGCCCGCGAGCGCGTCATGGGCGCCGAGGCCGCCGAGAAGGAGGCCGACCGCGCCCTGCTCGCCGCCCGGGAGAGCGTTGCCGCCGCGCGAGCCGAGGTGCGTAGGCTCGAAGAGGAGGCCAGAGAGGAGGCGAGGCGGGCCAAGATCAAGCAGTACCATGCCCGCGAGGTCTCCAAGCGCGGCAAGGCTCTGGGCCGTACGTCTCATCCCAGCCACCCGTGGCACAACATTGTGAAGCTAACATTTCTCTAGGCCACGGCGACTAAACATCTACTACCGTCGTACACATCAGGCGGAAACGAAAACACATCTTGTCTTACAGAATTTCCTTTGTTACTCACGAGATCATGATCCACGTCATGGTTTACAGACAACGAGACGGGAGTTGGAATTGAGCGGGATTCCAATACCTTTTCACATGCGTGTATTACTATCTATCATTATGTGCATATCACCAGCGACGATGCTTTTTCGGGGAGTTTGAAATGAGAATGCTGTACTAGTAGTAAAAAAAAAAAAGAAATGGCTGGCCAAAATCTCCCATCACCCTCACTCACATCGATCGTGAATGTATCCTGCTAGTATAAACAGCCTGAACACGTGGCTGATCGCTCGACAATCTTTTGCATAAACATCCATATATTGCTTGTCTACCAGGCTGGAATGGTGGTTCAAGCATCTCGTTACCGACTTGATTCTTTCCTAGCGCGCGTTTCAGCATGCGACATGGTCTTCGCGATGATTTCCATCTGGAGCGCCCACGACGCAGGACACTAGGTATTGTTAGGCAGCAGCACGACCGAATGCAAAAGGCGGGAAAGGGCGGCGGTGAAACCAGGGCCCTGTTCCGACATGGACGTGGCTGATATGCTGACTACCATCTACGATGTCGAGTGATCACCCTGTTCCCCAGTTCGACTGCAACAGGCCATCGGCTGAGCTCCCAACGTCAGCAGCTGATCGGGGGTGTCCCCAGAAGCCCCTCGTAAAGCCTCAGCCTGGACACCCAGCAAACACCACTCATTTCATGCTCAATCCTCTGGCCCAGACTCGAGCGAACAAGAAGAATCCGCCGTCTGTTTCCTAATCGTGTCACTATTTCAGTTACCGTAAACCTGTCGCAGAGTCATGTCGAAAGCCTTGCCTGTCCCTCGAACCCGGCTGTCAAGGTGAAACCAGCGTGCTCAATTCAAAGCTCTCAAATCATCGAGCAAGTACCTTGGGATTTTGTGTGGACGATTGAGTTCATTAAACATCATCTAAAGACAACTTTTTCTGCTTGTAAGGGCCAATGAAGGATTCTGAAGACGGGCTGAATGCTTCAGCCATCCCCCATCTGAGAAATCTAGTAGCCAGAACACATGCGTGTGCCATCCACCTGCCAACTGCCAAGCACGCCGTTCCTCCGCGGCCATGCTGCCCGTCTGTATACGCGATTAAGACCAAAGCGACGAGAAGAAAAGAAGGGTGGCCCCCAACCCCATATGTGCATCGAGAAGCGAAACGGGTATTTACAATTTTGCTCAAATGTGGCCGGTGCCCAGAGGTATCGAGAAAGTCGTGTCGACCACAGGTCCGTAGAGTGGCCGACAAGGGAAAGAAAAAGGTCGCGTCTGCCCAAGGAGCTGGGCGGGCTGCAATAAAAAAGACATAGTCGGGTAATGCGAGGGGTGCAAATTCGAGGTTGAAAGGTCCAATCCGTGGGAACGCCGACGCCTTTCCGAGTGCAACACTGAAAATGGTATTCCGATCCCGTCCGCAACAAGGTCCGCCAGTTCGACCGTGGTCGTGAGAAAGTGATGAATGCCGAAAGCGCGAAGCGCATGCCTTCCTGTGCTACTTCGCTCACATGACGACGCACTGGGACTCTTCGCGGTCCTTCTTGACGCTGAGGGCGACGCGGGCAGCCTCGGTGAAGGCCTCGTTGACGCCACGGTTGCGCATGGCGGAGCACTCGAGGTAGCGGAGGGCGTTGATGCGACGTGCGACCTCAAGACCTTGCTCATAGTTGATCATGGGGCGCTTCTCGCGCTGCTGACCCTCGGTGCCCTCCTCCTCCTCGTTGTCGGCCTCGCGGAGATCGCACTTGAGGGCGACCAGGACGAGCTTGACGCCGGGGCAGTTGTCGGCGATCTCGCCAACCCATTTGCTCTCGACGTTCTCGAGGGAGTCCTTGCTGTCGACGCTGTAGCAGAGCATGATAAGGTCGGTATCGTCTGCGCCCAGTTAGTCAATGTGGCTTGACCCACCCATGTCGATGGTCCTACCGTAAGACAAGCTGCGGAGGCGGTCGAATTCCTCCTGGCCAGCGGTATCCCAGAGCGAAAGCTCGATGTGGACATTGTCAACGAAGATGTCTAGCCGGTTCGGCGTCAGCAGGCAGTTTGGCGAAAAGAGGGTTGCGAAAATCGCAACGGGCAACAATGCGCCATTCGCGGATATTGGGAATAGGATCGCGTACCGTGGACATAGTTCTCGAAGACGGTGGGCTCGTAAACAGTCGGGAAGTAGCTAGGTCGAGTCAGCAACGGGAGCGCAATCGAAAGGTTTGCAACCCCAGCCGCTGGTGGGCCAGGAAGAGAAGCCAAACTTACCCTCTGGTAAAGACGTTCAACAGCGATGTCTTGCCGCACGCGCCATCGCCGCTGGAGGAAGCAAATCAATCAGCCAGAGTCCACAGGTCGCACCCAAGCGACACACAAAGATTGGGGGGAGCAGGTCTCACAGAAGAACCAGCTTGCGCTGGACGGTCTTGGATCCTCCGCACAAAGGCATGGTAGGCAGTTCGTGGTTATCGGGTGAAGAATCGGGCTGCGAGAAGGTGGGTTTAGGGGGGAGATGAGGGTGAGTCGACGGGATACGACGAGGTTTGCTTGTTCGAGGAAAGCAAAAAAAAAAGTCGGCGGGCAGCAAGCCGAGATCGGTTGCAGGTTGTGGTTCGTCGGTCGATCAGCAAGGGGAAGTTGCCAAAGAGGTGATTGTTGTTTGCGGCTGGATCTGGATCTGGAACGGTGGTGTGCGACGACGACAAAAGGAGGCGTAACAAAGAGAGGCTGAAGGGCGCCTCAGGGAAGGACCTAAGAGGGTAGTAACTTGGATGGATGGCAACGCCAGAGGGAAGGTACGGCCGGTTTCCTTTGGGGGGGAGGCAGAGGAATGGCGGGGGGACAAAAGAAGTAAGGAAGGTACGCAGTTTGACAGTGCAACAGTGCCTTTTCTGGAGAGGAAGGGCCAGAACAAACCGGAGCGACGCTGGATGTGAAGCAAAAGTGAGGTAAAAGTGAGTAGTTGCAAGTTGCAGTTGCAGTGAAATGGGGGATTGAGAGATGCAGGAGCGGGAAATTGGGCTGGGGAATGATACGCTGCTCAATTGGCGGAGATGAAGTCAGAAGGGCCGCAGAAAAAGACCAAGAACGGACAGGGTCAAGCACTCTGTTGCTGGGGTCCGCCTGGGAGGAAATGCGAGGGAAGGGGCGCTGGGACCGAAAGTGGACTGGACTAGACTAGGCTGGACTGGACTGGGAGGGAAGGGGAGGGAAGGAAGGAGCCCACTGCAACAGCTGGATGGGGAACGACTGGAAGGGGCAAGCAGCCAGCCAGGAGGTGGGACACATGGAATTAGACACTGAACTACGGGGTACCTAGGTACGGGAGGTACGGGAGGCACATACCAGAGGAGGTACCTATTCGCACTCTTGTCTCTCTCCGTCTCCCAGCACACAACACAAGCGCCGACGGCGGCAGGGAAAAGGGACCAGGGGCAGCGTTGATTGAACCCACACTCCAGGGAAACAAACGAGGCCAGATGGGGACGAGACACTCAATTGATGAATGTCACTGGCACTGACTGAGCGCCTCCGCTCCTCGCAACTTTGACCACCTTACATAGGTACCGCACTGCGCTCTCTACCCACTTGCCTAGCCTCTCTCTCTCGCAGAGTCGCCCAATCCGAGGGCCCTCCTGACCCTGAGCTGAGCGCAGCACATCATCATCACGGTTCATCCAGCTGCACAAGGGGTAGAGTAGAGGATTCCCCGCCACACAACAGCACGCGCGCGGGCTCGCCTGCATGCACTATCGGATTGCAGACATCCGGCAGAGAAAAAAAAAAGAAACAGAAGGCATCATCATCACCTCCCATCCTATATCCATGTAGGAGAGAAATCTCTCACCCGCCAATCCCCCCTGCCGATAAGCCAATCATGACCCGCTTGAGCCTCAGGGCAAGGACCTCCAGGTCTTCTTCACTTTGAGCTTCTTGACTACTCGACTGAAGAAAGCGCCATCTCACCAATAGGGATTGGGCGTTTGTCCCCCCCCTCTCTCTCTGTCTCCCTTCCACAACAATGGCCACGACATGGCCGTAGTGCGGTGGCGCTCGAGGGATCCCCGAAGCCCCTCAGCCCGAGTCCGTGAAAGCCGCTCTGGTGCCTGTATGAGACATCCTGCAAGAGGGGCATCTGCATCTGTCCCTCCATCATGTACCGTCACACACAAGAACCCAAGCAGAGGTACCTGCAAAGCCCGCAGTAAGCCACCACTCAGCTGGGTACGGTCCTTCGGGGTCCGGCTGCGTTGGCGTTCGAATACTATGGGGATGGTTGCCTCGCTTCCGGCCTTTTCGCCCGGCTTGGTGCAACTTGTCAGATCGCAGACTCAGATTATCGTCGAAATCCCCCGACCTCTATGTCTAAACCTTACCAAAAAACACTCGGTCCAGCTCTCGCTCTCACCCACATATGCAACTCGAAATGTTTGCTCATGTCCTCGTTCTATTTTCGACCTCGTCTCATCTCAACACATCCGCCTAGAAATCCGACTTGCAGTCCTCCCCCGTTTTGCGTCCTTCAACAACCTCCTGCCAACCCTCCCTGTCGTTTAAACCGCTCAACTCCATAAAGGACTGCCTGTACGACTCATTCGCCGCCCCCGATATCGTCATTGCCCGTCTCCAAATACCAAGGAATATCCACCTCTGTCCTGTCAAAACAAACAAACTTCACTGCTTTAACTGAAAAACTCCGTTGTGAGCCCAGGGATCACCACCATCTAGAACAGGCATATCCCGGCCGCACTGCCGCCGCAAAGCGCCGAAGCTCGACGCGAAAGAAGCCCCGAGAGCGGCGATTCGGACAGACAGAGACCGCAACTTACTACGCAGCACATAGTTGTAGGCCCAGCCAGTCAGCCAGGCCGCCCAGGCCCACGCCATCCAACCTGGCCTGGCCCTCCGACCTCCACCGTTTGCGTCCGTTTCCTGCCATCCAGAGTGCGATGGGGATGCCGTTGACTTCATCGTTGGAAAGCATTCCAAAATCTCCTTCTGCACCACCCCCTCACCACCCCTCATTACCCCTCCTCACTCAGCCTCGTTCCGAGGACTAGTTCCAAGGACTCGTTTCGAGGAAGCCATTCGACCAAGAGCTTCCTCGCCAGTTAGGGCAGGTGTCATGGTCAGCCTCCCTGGAGACGCAACGCTGCGCATTGAACCGTGAGGCACAGCCGAGTGTTGCGACGCTCGTCGCCCTGCGCCAAGCGCCGTCTTGCCACTCTGTCTCACGATTGAATCCCCCATCTTTCCGCCAAGGTCTTACCCTCTTGCGACTGTGCTCAATGGATTCCCCTGACGAGCGCCGCTCGTTGCCTGGGATGGCCTGCCATTAGACTTCACAAACTGCGCAACAGAACATCCTCCTGCCATGATGTAATCAACGAGACTGGAATGCGGTCATTCTTTTGTCCCCCGGGGATCGGTCACTGTCATTCCACTGGGTATTCGATTCCTATGCTAATTCACCCACCATCTCTCTCTCTCTCTCTTTGTAAGGCGCATGTCGTCGACATTCTAGAAGCACGCTCGGTGACGTGCTGCTGGAAAAACACAGGTCCCCCGACTTGTTATGCGGAGGATCGTATCCCAAAAACCCCTCGTCGCCAGAGTCCTATTTCAGCCACCTTCCCGTCGGGCCATGCATAGGCGATCAGTTGGCCAGTGCTGCCAAGGCCCGTCCCCTCGTTCCCGGCGCCCGCTATTCTGCGTTCGAGCTAGACAAGTAGACCCCACACTCTGGTTCACATCTTCCGTTGTATGCTCCGCAAAAGCATCGTCTTTCTCTGGCCAAGTGGGTTGCAAGGTGATCCGCGCGTCAGCCAGCCTCTCAGTCGTCGTCCTTCTGTAAGCCTTGCCTGCCCCGCCCCATCCTCTCGCCCAAGCTCATGTTGCCGGCCTGGCGATGGAGACCGTTGACGAACTCTCTGTCGCCGTACTTGGACGACCGCTCTCGTGCTTGGTTGTCGGCTTCCCGCGCGGCCTTCTCTCGTTCCTCCAGCGCCGCCAAACGGCGTACTCGGTCGGTGTCCAGATCAGAAGCTGCAGCCTGCATAGCCGCCAGCTTCCGTGCCCTTTCCTCGTCTGCAGCCTGATCATCCGCCTCTTTACCACCGTTGGCACGGCCATCGGGTTGTCTGTCTCGGTCTTGCCGCCGATTGTCGTAGTTTCTGGGACCCCGAGACCTTGACGCGTCTCCGTTTCGATCGTCTCGCCTGTCGTTGCGTCGGGGTGACCTCTCTCGTCTTCTAATGGCGCGATCTTCGTCGGAAACCGACGCAGGCCGTTGTCGTTCGCGGTCCTCCCGGCGGTCGCGACGGTCTCGTCTGTCATAGTCGTCCTTGTCGCCAGAATCGCGTCTGCGTGGCGACCTCGATCTCGAAACCCGTCTGCGGCGGTGGCTATGTCTGTTCTCGGAGTCGCTGCGACGCCGCTGTCTCTCGTGGCGGTCTCCATCTTCAGGGTCGTCCCTCCGACGGCGCGGACTTCTGGACCTGGAGTATGACCGCCGCCTCTTCCGGTGCCTGTCTCTATCGTCGTCGCCGTCGCGATGTCTGTGATGATGCCTCCTCTTGTGCCTCTCTTCCTTGTCCTTGGACCTTGACTTTGACTTGTCATCCGCCATACCCATAGACGCCAGCAGTTGTCGACGCTTGATGGGGTCATTCATCATCGCCTCGTAGGCAGCTTGCTCTTGTCTCTTGATGGCGAGCAGGGGGTCTTCCCGGACCTTGGCTGCTGTGTCCCTTGCTGTGTTGGCCGTCTGCAATGCCATGAAACTCTCCTGGCCAGCCTGCTTCTCCAGGTTCTTGTGCTCCGTGCCTTTCAGCAGGTTGTCGATGCGGCGCTTGCCAAGGAGGTAGCTCTCACGCTCCTCCGTCGTGCCGGTCTGTCCATCGGTAGGGCCGCTGTAGAGAAACTCGACGCGATCGACTCGTTTGGTGTGCCCGGCGGCCTCAAGCTTCTTTTGGAGCTCTTCGCGCTCGCGCTCCTCCTTTAGCTCGTTGATTCTCTGCTGCGTCTTCTTGCGCTCATCGAGGGCCTTCCGTTCCTCCTCCCAGACCTTGGCCTGGTTCTTGATGAGGGAAGGGTGGAAACTCTTCTTCAGGTTGAGATCGCCACCCATGTTGCCGACTGTTCTCGCAGGGTGTCGTAATGTGGTTCGGCAGGCTTATGGGGATGCGCGACGTGGAAAAGCGTTGCTGATGGGTGTCGTTGATTGAAATTCGAGTTGTCGGTAGATGAAAGGCTGGTGCGGCTGGGTACGACTAGATGGTCGGGAACATGGAAAAGTTGCCTCCCGCCTGACTGGCCAGTGCGCAATCGGACGCGCTTGGTGGGTCCGCCAATCGATAAGCTCCCCCGCCTCCAACGTCCCACGCCCAGCTGCACCTGCCTGGCACTTCAATCGATTAGCCTTACAATTCAATTCCAACAACAAACCGAGCATCGTCAACTTCTCTCCCCTCGCGATCCTGCGTCAAGGATTCCTCCAGTCAACTCACAGCCGTAATCTAACTCCTCGTCTTGCGCCAACTCATCAGCATCTGCCAACATGTCTGACGACGAAGACTTCATGCAGGAGTCGGATGAGGAGCAGTGAGCTTTCCTCAACTGGGACCTCAGCGCCCCGTAACCATCGTGGGAATCGCCGGAGCTAACCACAGATTAGGTACGACTTCGAGTACGAGGAAGACGACGACGAGGATTCCGGAGATGTCGGCATCGAGAACAAATACTACAATGCGAAGCAGCTGAAAGTCACCGATCCCGAGGATGCCATTGTCGAATTTCTGGGCATACCACCATTAGAAGAGGAAAAGGGCGAATGGGGCTTCAAAGGACTGAAGCAAGCCATAAAACTTGAGTTCAAGCTGGGACAATATGAAAAGGTAAGGCCGGGACTTCGGAGCGAAATCTCTCAATAGACAGCAAATGCTGACCCTGAGACCAGGCGACAGAGCACTATGCCGAGCTACTGACGTATGTCAAGTCGGCCGTGACGAGGAACTACTCCGAAAAGTCGATCAACAACATGCTGGATTACATTGAAAAGGGGTCAGATGGGCCCAAGGCAGTGGCGTGTGTCGAGAAGTTCTACTCGCTCACGCTCGAGAGCTTCCAAAGCACGAACAACGAGAGGTTGTGGCTCAAGACGAACATCAAACTCGCCAAACTCCTGCTCGACCGAAAGGATTATAATACGGTCACCAAGAAGCTGCGGGATCTGCACAGAGCTTGTCAGAAAGAAGACGGCAGCGACGATCCCAGCAAGGGCACGTATTCTATGGAGATATATGCCCTCGAGATCCAGATGCACGCCGAGACCAAGAACAACAAGCAGCTCAAACGTCTCTACCAGCGTGCCCTGAAGGTCAGATCGGCTGTTCCTCATCCTAAAATCATGGGCATCATTCGTGAGTGCGGTGGCAAAATGCACATGAGCGAGGAGAACTGGGCCGAGGCGCAGACAGACTTCTTCGAGTCCTTCCGCAACTACGACGAGGCCGGTTCGCTCCAGCGCATCCAGGTGCTGAAGTACCTGCTTCTCACGACCATGCTGGTTAAGTCGACCATCAACCCCTTTGACTCGCAGGAGACGAAGCCATACAAGCAGGACCCCGGATTACTGCCATGACGGAACTAGTGGACGCCTACCAGCGCGACGACGTCCATGCCTACGAGAACGTCCTCCAAAAGAACCAAGACATCCTCGCCGACCCCTTCATCGCCGAGAACATTGACGAGGTGACGCGCAACATGCGCACCAAGGGCGTCGTCAAGCTCATTGCACCCTACACGCGAATGAAGCTCGCCTGGATCGCAAAGCAGCTTAAGATCTCGGAGCCCGAGGTCCAGGACATCCTTGGCTTCCTGATCGTCGACGGCAAGATCGACGGCAAAATTGACCAGCAGGCCGGCACACTCGAGATCCAGTCGGACGCGGATAGCGACCGCACCAAAGCGTTGTACGAGCTTACACAGTCCGTCTCGAGCCTCTACACGACTGTGTTCAAGGAGGGTGATGGCTTCCGGTCAACCGACTTCCCCACCGATGAGCAAACTATGGAGATGATGGGTGGCGGCATGACGCCCAGAAGCAGCGGCCCGCGGGGTCACCCGCGTGGACCCGGACGAAAAGGCAAGGGCGTGATGCCGTTGTGGACATGATGAGCATGAGCATGAGCACAAGTATGAGCATGGGCCGGTGTGTATGGGCAGATGGAGCGGATAGACTTGCTTGGTAAATGCTGGCTTCCATCTGTTTACTCGACACGGCAGGCGACGGAAATACACATGAGGCCCTTTTTGAGGTTAATCGCGGCAAAGCGCCGGTGAGAAAGAGAGCGTGAGAAAGCAGAATCAAGGATTTTAGAAGATACCAAAACACCGGCCCCCAAACAAACAAAATCATATTTCCCGCCATTGCATCCACGGATAGCCACAGCATCTGTGCCGGTCAGTGGACGAGGTGGGGGCGCCAATTCTCCTTTTCTTGAGCAGGGAAGGGGTTAGAAGCATCTTGCCGCTGCAACTTGCCTGATCCGTCAAGACTTTTCTGGACCTCGTGGAACCCCGGAAGTGGAGGGCATGAGAGAGAACCAAAAGAAGGGAGGCTGGGGCGGGAGAGAGAGTAAGGGATCATGGTTGACGACAGCCCGCGGGGACTTTTGAGAGATGGCTTCCGCAGCGGGTCGGCCTTGCAGGTTTGCGTTGCTCGCATAGAATAATCAAACGATTTTCTCGGGTCTCCATCCCTCCCTCTCCCTCCCTCCGTACAGCTGTGCAGACTTGTGTGTAGGGAACCACGACGAACAATACAAAGACACAAAGCCTCTGACACACTGGGTAACTCGAATAGTATGTGCTATATTTGCCCCCAGCACTCGACGATCCAGACGCAAGCCGAACAACCCCGCTCTTATTCTCTCTCTCTCATCTCGGTTCGAACGTCAAGGTCTTCCTCACCTGCTCTGATGCATACCGGAATACGACGTCCTCGTCTCCGCCAGGAGCATTGAAGGTCAGAGTAGGAAAAAGAGAGTTCCAACGCGCAGACAATAGAGCAGAGATTAAGTTTTGGCCCCCCCCGGCCGCCTCGCCGGCAGGGTCGCAGCCGATGAGCACAACGGCTAGGCGGGACGCGATGGCGGCTGTCCCAGCTCGCTCAGGCGGACTTGGCAGGTCGTGAAAAAAATTACCACCTCCTCAGTTTGATCTCTCACCGTCTAATACTGCAGCCGTCTTACCGTCCGGTCTTCGTTTCGTGTGAGCTGCGCCAGCGGACGGTGGGCGTCGCGAGCAAGCAACATCGGAGGAACAGACTCTGCACATCATCAGGCAGGGTAGTAAAGAGTGCCCGCGGCTCGCTCGCCCGCCGATGCAAACGCGGGATGGTGCCGATGGTTCCTGGCAGCGTAGCATCAAGACCCAGAACTTTACTCACCCTTGCCCTGGTCGTGCTGCCGGTCTGGAGAGTGGTGCCGACCGACTTTGTTGCGCCTCTTCCCCCCTTCCAACGTTAGCCGTCATTGTCCACCGCAGATCGTCTCGGCGGTGTCGTGAGGTCAACTCTGTTTCTTTTCCGCTGTTCACACAGGAGCTTAGCATGCAGGATACGTCTGGTCGAACCCCAGCCGGAGGTTTTGCTTTGGCACCTGTCACCTCGCACCGCATGACGTATGTCTTTGTTTTTGTCCAACCGTTGTTATCCAAAGACACCACCGCATTCTACTCTGGAAGCAGATGTTGGCCATGGCATGCCCATGAGGTAACTTCGCCTCCGTTATGACCTTCCCCGTGTAACCACTTCAGTTGCAGTGTCAAGGATGCGATCGGAGAGAGAGACTCGCTCGCCCACTCAAACGCCTGCACTGGAAGCGGAATGGGCGAACTTGTTTAGTACAATGCAGTGGTGGGCAGACTGCAGCAGGGGTGTGGGCACGTCGTCTGCTCTTCATGACCTAGTGGCCCCCCTCTCTCGGCCGATTGCAAGGCGAATGCAGACTCAACGCCGTGACGAGGTGAGCGGCGAGTCTGGCCTGGGGCGGTCGCGACGACGGCTCTGCATCGTGACGAAGTTTGGCAGCTCGATGATTGGACGATGTAGCCGAGTTGCACAGCACACGAAGCGAGAAGGACGAAGAAGAGGAGGAGCAGGAGGAGGCAAGCGGCCAGAGCCAGCTGCCCGCGGAACTAACGTGGTCCGTGGTCGGAGGCGAGTAAGTATTTGCTGCGATATGTTTGGACGAGCGGGTGTTTGTCTGCATGAAGGACGCTTGCATACAGCAATTTCGTGGTAGGATGGTTGGAACGAAAGAAGAACGCCACGCCGGTGGCTTTCTCCGTTGAGGGGGTTCTGCGGGTGGTTTTGTGTCACCCGCGAGGCGGTATACGACCAATCCCGACGACTGTCAACCTGATGATGGTTGTTTTAATAGTTTCTCTCATATTTGAAAAGGACGCCGGTCGCGTGGTGCCTTTGAAGACCTTGCAGCTTGTGAAACTACGCGGGTGTCCTTACTGACGTTGACTGAGACTTTCGCAGCTTGCGGCCAAGGTCCCGAAGGGTTTCCCGTGAGTAACTAGCATTTTATGCAGTGGCAACTGGGCCGTTCAACTTAGCAACTTCAAAGTACCGACAGCTGCGTGTTGTTGTTGGTATTGCGCTGGTGCTCGTAGGACTGAAGAGGCCCAACTCGTTGCTTTTCGCAGCCCCGGGCTTCGACGGCTGATCCACGCAGGCATAGCTGGCTCGCCTACGCAGGAGACAATGAGTAGGATACAAGGTTAGCGGCATCGTTTGGCCTCTAGATCCACACCGATGAGAATTCGGGGCTTGAAGTTCCTTCGTCGCGGTCTAGAAAAAGCGAGAGGCAAAAGTTGCGGACCCAAGGAGAGAGGCAGGCCAAACGATCATCCTCAATATGCGCGCACAGGGGTCAAGTGCGCCAAAGCATAAGGTGTCATACCGCCAAGATCCGTATTTAATTTGGAAGCCCTTTCATCAGGAGAGGGCAAAGGGATATTTCGTGCAGCCCAGCTGTGCACCTGCATGGTAGATGCTTCACAAGGTGAGAAGGAAGTGACGGTCTACGGTAGAGATGGGCCTGTCAGCTCCGGCCGAATCTGCCCTCTTCGTCCCTCCGTTACTCATAACTCAAGGTACTGGCAGGCTGTGCGTGCATCATGCAAGCAATGGAGAGGACTGGCAGCGCGGGTGAACCTCACGCGGATGTCTGAGCGGGATAACGGAAGGCCGCTGACGCAACGCTGTTGACGAGCTGATAACTTTAGAAATCCCATGTAGCTCATCGTACTTGATCTTTCCAGCCTCAGCAGAATCCATAAACTCGATCCTGATCTCTAAAGAGATAAGCGTCAGGGACTTTGGTATGCAAATACTTCTTTCAAGAGACACGATTGGTCTTCTCGGGCTGGCGGACTTGAAAATGCTCGGGTTCGCATGCTAGCCTTGTCCTTCACATGTCTTCCTTCCCCTTCATGCCAAGTTGGTATTACTTGGGCAATTGAGGATGGTGCACTTGTAGCTTGTAGGTGTAGGTAAACACTAGGATCCCGCCTTAGGACGGATCTGCGATAGCGTGGACGGGGTACCAGGGGCATAGGGCTTGGGGTTGGCCTCTCTCGACTTCTGAGCTCGACATGAACGCGGCCAACAGCAAACACCCTGTCCGCCCTCCGACGAGAGGCGTGACCATTGGTGTCTATTGTTTGAAGTGCAGTACAGACTTGTGCTTTTTGAAGTGCCAGCAGGCTACATGTTTCCGACTCGCGTTGTCGTTGGTTCTCGACCGGTTCATTTCCACCCAAGCATGCGACCGTCGACTACTCTATGGGTAAAACGGCGACTAGGTGCCTTCAGGGCGGGTGTGTCGCCTGGGGCGGTTGATGCCTTGTTCGCAGCTAAGCCTTGATCGCCGTCTCTCCCAGTTGTATGAGGTTTGTGATGGTTCAATGTTGGGCTGGACACTATTGCATCTCGTTCTTGCTCTTATCTGGTTTGGGATTGGTGTGCCTGACGCAGCTTGTATCACAAGCCTAATGAAGCCTCCTTTAAGTAACGAGACTGGCCAGACGAGATCCAGTGGGCATGTAGGGTCCTTCCCCCCATGCTCGATTTGTTACGTGGTTGTGTCGTGTGCCAAGAGTCTTAGTGCCATTTCTCCCTGACCCGTCCTGCAGAGCTCTTGTGCGGACAAGTAAGAAGGCCGTTCGAGATAATGAAGTGTCTGGATCGCCTCCGCGCTCGCTGGAATCGTCGTCTTGGTAGCCAGCTCATACCACGTTGGAGGTTGCCAAGCTTCCCAGGGCCGTCACAATCTCGATGAGAAATGACAGTTGCAGTTGATGCTGGTCTGACTCGACGAACAGCAACCAGTGGTTGTTCACGAACCCAGATTTTGTTCTAGCGTTAACCGTTGGGTAGCAGTCCAGGACGGACGGCGGGCGCAGATCCTGAGGCGTCTCCATGTTTTCACGGTACCGCAAAGACCGCATTTGCAAAATGCACAATGTCGAATTGGATTTCCCTTTGTAAAAACCCCCATGTTGCAGGTCTCACGGACAATCGTGCGCGGAACAGGCCGTCCAGCAACTCCACAGCCCCAGTTAGCCGCATGGAAGGAATATGACTTGAGACTCTTGGACTCACGCCGCTTGGGCTTGCCAGATTCTGACAAGGAAGTCCGCAAAACTGGTAAAGAGCGTCTGCCGAGTGGTTCTGTCGTACTGGATTTCAGTTATCCCGATGGGTCGCGGTTTTCAAACCCTTTGGCGCCCATCAGGTGTTGACTACGCCTTGGATATGCCTCTGATGGGGATAATTGATGTTTTTCGGGTCTGGCTTAAGTTGGACAGCCATTGAAATTATTGATGAGTTGGTCATTTATGCTGCTGGATTTTATTTTTATTCTTCTTTTGCGCTTGCGGCGCAAAACTTTCGACCCGTGCTGATATGAGGATACGGTGAAGATGGGTCCTGAGTGACAGAGTATCCGTAACTCTGCACTATCAACCGCCCATGGTGGCGTTTGGTTCGAGCGTCTTGGCCAAGAATGCAATATCAGATTCGCGATGGGGACCTCGATGGACCTCGATGGGCACTCCACCCGCGAGCAGGAACCGCCTTGACAATCTCGAGTGCGTTACAGACTTTAGCCTTGATTGACCTTCGTGTGGGTTGCTGTACAGCTCAGGCGACCCGTGAAACGCTTCGCATCGTACCCAGTCACGCACTTTTGTAGAGGCCAACCATGATGACCAGGTCGCGCGCCATTGGCCACGCCATGTTGGTACACTCCGCTGGCCATTCTGGGCTGATCGGGGCCGAAGCAAGTGTCGGACGCGAAGCACACCACGGCTCCTCTAATAAAGTGGTATCCGGTGGTACTCCGGTGAGCTAGGGTGTGACTCGCTGGGGTACACGTGTAGGCCAAGTAACGAAATACCCAAAATTGAGTGCTTAGATTGCATCGAACTCGACTTAGCTGTCGCCATTTTCGAAAATGGTTTTCCAGTCTGTACCTTGCCTATTGACCTCCGCCCCCTTGAGACAGACTCCATTGTCATGAATCTGGTATACAGTAGGATTTGCTGCTGGATGATGAAGTATAGTGATCGACGGTGGGAGACGTCGTCTTCAAGGTATGCACCGGCATGGAGCTGGTGGAGATGATTTTTCAGGGAGGAGGGAAAACTCGATCAAGGCCTATACTCCTGCGCCGATGCCTCGCGTCAAGGCCAATATTTCCTGTTTCTGGGCTGTCCTCATCGCCTTGTGTGCAGCCAGATTTTGCCGAAACGGCTGAGCTAGTGTTTGCGTTCAGGGACGCCGCCCAATTTCGCCAAACGGCAATTCATGTCGCCGATCTCCACCTCAACTTACATGGCCTTCTTCCACCGTAGCTGGGTCCGTGAGAAAAAACGTGGCGACGCACGCTTGCCCCTGGATGCTGGGAAGTACCGGGCTTGGCCATGTCCGGTTGCTCCCAAAGTGTGAAGTGTGAAGAGCTGCATGTTAGTAGCCTCCAAACGGACAGTTGTCAAGGTTGCAGCCAACGGCGGGAGCGTTGCATTGAGAAGCATTCCGTATACCGTCGAGCATCCTAGGACGCTAGTCCCTCCAGTCAGAGGTGAAAGCTAAGTGGTGGACGCGGCTGGCATATCAAAAAGTTGTCCGTGGAGAACATCAGTCCGTTGCAGCCGAAGTACGGCAGCGGCCGCCATCAGCCGGCCGCCAGTGACGGGTGTGTTCCCATGTCAAAGTGAGCGCGGCAGAGCGCGCCCGGCTAATTTTTTTTAGTGTAAACCGGTTCTCGTGAGAACGTTAGTCCAGCTAGGTTGAAGCAGAACGGCAGGCTAACGCGACCATTGGCGGCCCTAGGTTTGTTGGGGGACGACGCCGGACGCTGAGCGGTCAGAACATGGAGTCGAGGTGAGAGCCGGCCACTGGCGGTTCTCGGTAAGGACAGCAAGAAAAAAGAAGAAGAAAAAAGAAAGAAAGAAAGAAAGAAAAGGCCAGAGAGGATGGGGATTGTGCCTTCTCTGAGGCTACAAGCTCAGTGGAAATCGGTAGCCCACATTGACTTTGTCGTCGCCGTGGCTGTCCCGCTTCCTGCGTGTCTCTTCACCCTTGCCCACTTTTTATCACATTTTTGACGGACAAGAGGTTACAAGGGGCTGGCGAGAGAACAAGCGAAGGCCTAGGTAGTGATCTCTCCCGCGGAGACTGCTTCAGTACTTGTGGCGACAGGACATAGCCGCAACATCTACCCTGATGCGCTGTCAATGACCATGGTTGTCGTTTGACGGCTCCAACGATTGGTTTTCCGTCCGTGACTGAAGATGCTGCTTTGCTTAGAACCAGTGGCCTCGCAAAGTAATATCTGACGTTTTGTGGAGCAGAGATACATTTCCAGGACCAAGAGATGGAGATAGAGAACCAAACAAGTCGGAGATTGTGCTGGACACCGTAACCAGTAGTGCTGCAGGACAAGTTCGAGGATCACGATGAAAGGACGTGGATCAGCGCGACGGCTAGGTACAACATGGGCAACCAGTTACCCACAGCAGCACAGCGGGTGTGTGCGTGCGTACGCCCTGTACGTACCGTGAGAGTGGTGAATGCCATCGTATCTTGGGCAAGTACGGATAAGGTGCTCGGATGCCGAGGGGTACCACGGTTCTCAGGGTGGTCTTGTATGGCACTGGCACTGCGCCTTGAACGATGGACGGTGCATCGTGCTGATGCCAAAGGCTTGTGCCATCCCTGCGATTTCTCATCGACGACCACGGATGGCGGGCTGGCGGGCGTGAGCGGACGAGTAGCGAGCCCCTTCAACCTAGTCCCTTGCTAGTTTGAACGGTGAAATACAGGGCCCTCCCCCGGCTCGGTGTTTACCTAGAATGCCACCCTTGCATCACTGTCGAGGAGCTCGGCTCTCTTGTGTGTATTCGTTCTCCAACATGCTAGCTGGCGCCAGGCAAGTAATGCAACATGCTCGCTCGTACGAAGCCTTGTGCCGGGGGACTGCTTCACAGAGGCCGGGCGCTGGGAGGGATTGTATCGTTTATTCATCAGGTGGTTTGGGGGTTGCTGCATGCTGCGCATGGTTGTGGGTTCGCTCTCTGGTGTTCCTGATGGACAGGGGGGCTCCGAGGTGATAACGATGCGGTTGTCGGTCGAAAGGCCTCATGCTGAAGGGACCGAAGAGACAGAGAAGAGAGAAAGAGACCTGGAGCCTCGAGAGCCGATAGGCGTCTTCCGAGCTGGGCAGGGCATGTTCGCGAGTGGGAGAGGATGGATGATGGACGAAGCGGGAATCCCCTAGGTTGGTGGTCGGATGTCAGTGATACCTAACCGCGCTTTCCTCTTCAACGATTGATTGTTGCTCTTGCCCCCAAGTTCTGGATGTTTTGGCCTTTGTCGGTTCTTTCCTCGACTTATCCCTGTACCCAAGTACAAAGATAAAAAAATAGATAAAAACGGCGAGGAAGGGGCTGCTGTCTTTGCCTCTTGCCCTTTGGCAGACAGGTCCCGTCTGACGGTGTGTCTCCACAAATCGAATAAACCTGGGTAAGCCTCCGCCCACGACGGGAAAGGCTCCTGAGGTTTCAATTTTTGAACCACAACGACCCATTCTCACTCTGCCTTCGTTCATCCACCCATCGAGATTACAAACCGGCAGCAAGCCACTACGATGGCCTCGGGACACTTCCAAGGCGACGCAACACATTAGACCCATGTTCTTTGCGTATCACAGACGGATATGAGGAGGGGCCGCAGATATGGCAGCAGCCAAGCGCTCCGACAACATCCAGCATCCCCCCCTACGCGATATCACGATGTCTTTGTTGTAACTTGCCGCTGCATTCCGCCCGATGGAATCCCCCTGCCTTTCCCGCCGCTCATCTTGCCCCCTTGGCTTGACTGAGGGATTGTCGACGAGACGAGCATACGGGCCAATCGACGACTTGCAGGAAAGCATGATGCAGACCCGGCCACGCCAGACCGGGCCAGGCCCGACCCCGAACCAGGGTCATCAGGCTCATTCGTCTCATTCCTCGTTTCCATTTGACTCTCCCCGTCTTTTTTCTTCTTCTCCAGCACACTCGTCATGTCCACGAGGGTTTTGCTGCTCCACGATGTTCGTTTGATGCCCGCTCATGGGTCATCTGTTGTTTTCGCTGGCTGGGGCCGGCAAATGATCTGAGGGTACCTTGAAGAGAGACGGTGGATATGTCATCTCGTGGCTCGTGGCACGGACTGGATGCATCCCAGACCCGGACCCAAATCCAAACCCATCACCCCATCCCCTCCCCTCCTCACCATCCCGTCTCCGTCCGCTCCATCAGAAAGCCGACGCGCCTTGCTGCGCGCCGCTGTCACTGCTACCTAGTCTATGCCCTGGGCGTACCGTTGTCGGCATCATAGCCCCCAACGCCACGGACTGCCGTGCCATACTGCGATGGTGTTATATGCCAGACTATGCAGGCTTGGGTCAGGAACGCGACCAACCATCTGACTTGGACGGCTTCCCCATCATGCCCGTGATATTATGCACTGGCCATCCGTCACATTAACGGTACAACGGCCGTCGTCACTGGGCCCTTGCCCCCCTTTCTTTGCTTCTCTCTTTGTCTCTCTCTCCCCGTCTCTGTATCTCTGATGTCCATACCAGGCCTATCATCCCCTGCATCTCCCTGCCTTACATGAGATATACGTACCTGGTCTCAACTTGCCACGGACATGGACGGAGGCACGGTACCGGTACGGCACTTGACGTACTTTTTGTGGTGCAAGCGTGCTACTGGCCCACCCCCAGTCGATGCCGCTTCTCCTCATCTCGCTGTCGTTCTGATGTTACGGCTGCTTGAGCCCATCACTATTGCTCCATCTAATTATTCCCTGCACATGCGGCTGGTGGTGCTGTTGTCCTCAGCGTTGTGTCATGCTGGCTCCCATTGCCTGTTCTTGGTGCAACCATTCGTTATCCTAGAGCAACATCGGCTTCCTCGCATTTTGTCTGCCGTCCTCGTCAACCTATCTTACATGGGCAACATCTAGGTTGGCAGTCATAAGCGGCCCCTGTGTTTCCTCGACCAGCGCTTACTTACACCTCTTCCTCTCCCTCTTTTCCTCATAACTCGACCTGATCCCCTTCTTCTTCTTCTTCCTTATCATCATCATCTCTAAACTTGCCGCCCCGATTCCTTTCTACTCCTGCCGCTCGGTAGGCTGTACTTGGTTCGACCCCGTGTTCTCAGTGTCGGCCTACATCGGCCCATCCATCCACCCATCATTGTCAACGGCAGCATTGGCAGCGTCCTTGACCGCGATACTGGGCTCCTCTGCCCTACTGTACCTTGTCGCCCCGATCACTAGCTGCGGCACGGCACTGCACATTCACATCGCATCACATCAGGTCCATCCACATCATCCGTCATTCGTCCAAAACGGTTCAGCTCGGGTCGTCTAGCAGCCGTCTCGAAAGAGCGAAATCAGATCCAGCTGATCCAGGACACCCATTCGAACAGGATTCAGCACGGCTGAGAACACCGCCAGAGACGCCAATTTCCAGAACAAGCGAAGAGAAGGTGGCAGATCCGAAGGGAAGAGGCCATTGCAGCGGAATCCTGCCCGTCTGCCAGACACACCGCATCGGACCACCCTCGCGGCAGCGACCAAGGCCGGACCCCAGAGACGATCCAACAAATCGGCTGACTCTCGAGACTCCAACAGTCGGCACTAATCGAAAAGACTTGACGGCGCGGAAACTGCAGGAGGGAAGTGAATGGGCAGACGCACCCCGGAAAACCACTGGTCACATTTCTGTTCCTTTTTAGCCCTTGGAGGGCCGTCGAATTTCTGCACCATCGCGCCCCCCCTGCACTCTATCTGTTCATTCGCCGCCGGCAGCCAAGGTGCATACAGCAGCTAGGTGGGATATTAGTTGGGTTGCTTTGGCTGGCCTTACTTGACCCTCGACCTGTGAGAGAAAGAGAGACCCGTTTGTTTCTCTCCCCCCGTGTTGGACTGGAATCTGAGCGGCTTGTTGCTGAGGGCGGCCATCTTATTTGTTGCTCGTGTCTTTGTTACACATACGTACCCTGGCTCTGGATCGGGATTGAATTTGTTGGTGCATCGGACCGCACGCATCGCATCGTCCGGCCAGACTCGCCCAGGTTTTTTTTTTTATCTGGCTTCCTGCCATCCCTTTTCTCTCGCCGTCGAAACGATCGTCCCGTCACTGTTTCTTTTTCCCCCCCTGGTTATTCCTCTCCATTCACCTTGTTGCCTTGCTGCCAATCACTGCGCATCGGCCCAGCGCTGGAGACTCGGCATAAGACAAGTTGCATGAGTCGTCAGCAATAGCGCCAGCTTCGCGCATCCATCTTACCGCACTTTCACGCTGATTGCGGGCGAGAATTGAGACATCAACAGTGAGGCTTCGGACGCAGAGCCAAGCATACAGACAAGAAGCCAACGCAACGCAAGGGAAGAGCAGCTACGGCGTCAGTGAGGCCATGTTCCAGCCTCAACCAACGCCTTTTGCGTTTCACGCCTCCCCTCACTCGTACACCCACTCCAACACGCAGTCATACAACCAGTCCCATGGCCCTCGGTCTCAAGATCAATCCTCTCATGACCATGGAGGATACGGCATGGCTCTGGGAGGAGGCGGGCTTGGAGGGGCGATGATGGCAGGCGAAGACGGAGGGATGGACGTGAGGATGGGGATGATGGGCGATGGAGGAGGAGGAGGAGGAGGAGGAGAAGGCGCAGAGCACCACGGTGTCGGCGTCGGCGCGGACATGGGCGACTACAGCTTCTCACCGACGTCGCTGGGAGCCGGAGCAGCTGGAGCTATGCGCGCTCAAGCTCGATCTGGAGCTGTAGCTGGTGTGGGTTCGGCGACGAGCATGGCAATGGGCATGAGACCAGCAACAGGGCAAGGCCACGGCATGGGTGGCCCACTGTTGATGGGCGGTGATGGAAGTGGTGGTGGTGGTGGTGGTGGTGGAGGTGGCTTTCGACTAGGGATGGACGTCGACATGGACATGGGGCTGGGTCTGGGCTCCGGCGCGCTGCAGTCGCCGTTGCAGTCGCAACCGCGGTCACAGTCGCTATCTTTGGGCGGGGAAGCTGCAGGCCCCCCCAGCAGCAGGCCGCTGTCGCTGACAGCACAGGCACAAGCACAGGCACAGGCACAGGCGCAACAGGCACGGGTACAAGTCCAGCGACAGGTCCAGCACCGGCCACAGGGACATGCCCAACACCAACAGGCGCCTCCAACGGCAACGACAGCGGCAGCGGGAGCGGCTACAACACCAGGCCGCGGTCGCGGACCCGGGCTTGGCTCCGGTCCTCACCACCCTGGACCTGGACCTGGACATGGACTTGTATTTGGGCCTGGGTCTGGGTCTGGGTCTATGTCTGGACAGGGTCCTGCACCCGCACCTCATCCTCCTCCTCATCCTCCCCGTCGTCTTCCTCCTCCTCTCTCGTCCTCTGGCCCCGGTTGTACCACTACTACTCCTGCATCTCGCACAGCAGCAGCAGCGTATTCTGCGCCGCCGCCGCCGCAGCAGCAGCAAGAAGCGGTAGCACAACCAGGAGCAGAACGAGCCGGCGCCTTTCAACTCGTCGCTGGGAACGGCCTCTATTCTTCTTCCTCGTCCTCTTCTACTCCCCCTCCTCCCCATTCTTCTTCTTCCCCGTCGTCCGTTGTTGCTGTTTCCGCTGCCGCCTCTGGCACTCCCGTCCCCGCCGTCACAGCCCGCTTCCATCACAACCATAACCATAACCACAACCGCAACAGCCCCGGTGCATCCTCTTCCACCACGTCCTCCTCCCGCTCCCATTCCCACTCCAACTCGTCTTATTCCCACTCTTACTCCAACCACCACCACCACCTCCCCCCGTACCCCGGAGCTGCATCTTCTGCAACTGCGTCTCCTGCCTTTTACAACTCCAACAACAACACCAACAACAACGCCAGCATCGCCCACTCCGCGAGTACTCGTCTGTCCACCATGGAACCTGGCGACCCCTCCGACCTCGCCGCCCAGGAAGCTGCGGCGAGGGACTACCAACCACAGCTGGAGGTGAGTTTGCCGCCGCCCCGACCGCGCGCCGGGAAGCCTAAGCTCCGCGCGGAACGAAGCTCCTTGTGCTCGCTTCCCCCTTCGTCTTCAACCGTCCCCCCCGCCCTTCAGCTCTGCGCCACCTCTCAGACACCCCGATTCGCATTCCTCGCCCGCCTCTATTGTGGCCCTGAGCTGTCGCAAGCTTGGTTTGGAATGTATGCTGACATGAGTTGCGCCGCTTTTTTAGGGTCCATTGGTGGGCGACAAGATCACGAGCGACGCCATCACCGACGAGTATGCCAAGGCCGACGACGTTTACGTTGCGAAAACCATTGTGAGTCCTCCGCTGCCCATCTCTTCCCGGCAGCTTCCTCACGAGCCTATTCGTGGCTAACCCGCGCCCTCGTCTCCCCGCGGCAGAATCTCCCGCAGACCTACTCGCACTACCGACCCATCCAAGGCGACGGCAACTGCGGCTGGCGAGGTGAGTTTACCTTTCTAGATCCCGCTGTTTCGTGCGCCACCACCACCACCACCACCCACTACCCCGCATTCCCGCCCTTCGAGAAGTGGCATGGTCTCGGACCGATCAAGCACGCCGTTTTCCGTGGAATGTTGGCACTGCTCATTCCATGGGCAGCCAGCCTCGGATCACGGCAATGTCTCTCTTTGTGGCGCGTGGATTGCTGGCTAACATCTGGCCTTAGCAATTGGCTTTTCCTACTTCGAGCACCTCGTCAACAATGGCGACCAGCACCAGATACTCGGCGAGGCTGCGCGCATCCAGAGCCTGGACCAGTACCTTTTGCGTGTCGGCGGCTACGACCGGATGCTGTTCGAAGACATGGTGGAAGAGACAATCACTCTGCTGAAAGACCTGGCCCAGAACATTGTCAATCCTCAACTGGCTACGCACGTTTTGGTCCAGCGCTTCAACGACCAGGACGCCTCCAATGCCATCATCTATCATCTTCGTCTGCTGGCGAGCTCATGGCTGAAGGGCAACCCCGAGTCCTACGAGCCCTTCATCCCCGCCGAGACGGGTATTGCCGGCTACTGCGCAGAGCTCGAGCGTCCCAACAGAGAAATTGAGCATCTGGGCATCACGCTTCTTGTCCAGGTATTGCTGAAGCCCGTCAACTTCGTGCTGGAGATTGCCTATCTCGACCGGAGCCCCGGGAGCCAGGTCAATATCTACCGCTTCCCCGAGGAGGCCAACGGCCAAGATCCCGCCAGCTTGGGCCCCATCATTTACCTGCTATACCGACCCGATCACTACGATATCCTCTACAAGTCGCCCTTGAACCCTGCACCCTTGGACCTGCAGGTCAACCGGGCCACTTCGTTTTCTCACCGACACGAGATTGCGAGCGTAGCGCCGTCACTCCACAGCTATGCGAATCTCGACTACGGCCCATTGGCCATGCTTCCCGGCTTTGGCGGCCCGGCTTCCGGTCTGTCGTCGGGCTTGTCCTCACTAGGCTCTCCTACCGCAACCTCGCCTTTGCCGGACGCTTTTGACCCGCCGTCGCACTCTCCTTGGCTCGCCACGTCGTATTCCGATCACATGCAGCAGCAGCAACCTGTGTCAGCTCGCCGTCCGCAGCCCCAGACGGCACCTCAGCCCCAGCCACCAACGCCTGCTCCTGTGAAGGCGGCACAACCTGTCGACTATCAGCTGAGGTTTAGTCACCAGTGCTGGCATCTCAATAACACCAGCTCGGCGCAACCGTCGATTCTCTCTGCCCCGTCGGGGTTCCAGGAACCTAGTTTCACGACGGCCATGTTCAAGAACAGCCATTTCAACAAGGCTCATTACAACAATCCTCATTTCCACCCCGAAGAATGGACGCCTGACGATGACGGCCACCACGAGAGGGCTCCGAGCGCCAAGAAGAAGGGCAAGCTCAGGTCGGATCACTAGAGAATGATGGCCATGGGACAACAGCACCATCGGACAGTGACATAGTGGCGATTCGGTAGCAAAACGGGCTCCGTGGCATGGGTACCCTTTGGGCGGAAAGCTTGCAAACTGCAAACAATGCATTGGATCGCGGCCGTTTTCAAGGGTTGGGAAACCACCGTATACATTCCATGGGGCTCCGCAACCTTTTTCCTTTTTCTTGACGACTGCTTTTGAGGGACTGGGGGGTGGGTTTTGCATTCTTGGGTTTGGGGGGGAGGGAACCAAAACTGAACCGATAAGGCTTGTCGTTATATTTTTGACGTTAGTCGTTTGCGCAGAGGCAAAGGAATCATCATGACTTATGATGGAGAGGGGTTTTTCGTCTTTACGGCTTTCTTGGCAGGGAGGGCCCGTCCCTCGGGGTTGGTACTCATCATAGCATCGGCGTTTGACTCTGCTTGCACGAATTATGCATTAATCACTATTCTCTTGTTTGGCATTTCCCCCGTTGCCCTCTCCCGCACCGGGGATGTTCAACAAGACGGCATGTCAAGCGGTGGTGCTCGCCCACTCCCCCCCCCCCCCCCCCCCTTCCGTGCAGGTGAGGATCGGTGTTGGGATTCGCTTGGATGCAGGCGGGCTGGGAGCTGATTGCCTGCCGCGACAAGGCCCTACCAAGAACCCGGGCATCTCCGGCTACGTCCTCGACCGAGCGATTCTTCCCCCTCGCCCTCGCCCTCGCCCCGCTCCCCAGTCAAACAGTTGACGTTGTCGTCTTGGTTTCCATGTGCGCGTGCGTGCGTTGGCCATGTCAGGCCGTGGCGTGTAGCCTTATCTTGTCGTTGGTTGGAGGGGGGGGGGGGTTGAATAAACCATTCCACGTGCCGCAGTTCACTCTCCTACGCGGCTTCCACCCCCCCCCCCCCCCCCCCTCTCCCCAGGCTCCCGGGACGTCTTATCGCGAGAGCAATGGCGTGCTGCCTCCCGTGGCGCGCTGCCAAGAACCCGCAAGGCCAGCAGGGTCGAGATCGCCGTGTTGGGAGGCCTATCCCCGGGCCCCCCGCTCGGGGGGCGAGCAGACCCCGATGTGCCCGTCCCCCTACCACACCTCCCCCCCTTCTCGCCCCGTCTTGTCTTTGAGGGCGTTTGCCACTCTTACACCGAACGTCACACGTCTTCACTGATTGCGCTTGGGAGGAGGCGGATGCGGGGCGCGTTTGCGGTCTGGTAAAACACGGGGTATCATTATGCTTGCGATGTATGTGCGGGTTATATATACGCGTCCCGTCGTCGGGAATAGAGTGATAGCCCGCCCACATAAAACGGGCTGGGGCGAGTCTCGCGCCCCCTTGCGTCCTTCGGGAATAGTGACCAAACGTCCAGAGGACCGAGAATAAGTCGGCTTCTTCCATCCCGGGGTCGTTGGCCAAGCAGTCAGTATGCTGCACCTTCCCCGGCATTCACGCCGGGGAGGGGGCTACGTTCGAGACGTGCAGGGCAGCCTTGGACGTGGTGCTCGCCAGGCATCAACTGCCGTGAGGCTCACGTACCCGGGCCATTGCTTGTGTCGCAGGGGGCGCTTGGCGCGCACCCATGTCCGGCGGGCCTTGGGCGACAGGTCACCCGAGCCGGTGGTGAACCGTGGTCGGCGCAATGCCGACGCCCAGCCGACGCGCCAGCTCCTCGGCCCATCGCCGCGCGTACCGGTTCCTCCTCGCCCTGCCGTCGCCGGCGATGCTCCATTGCTTCCAGGAGTCTTCGCCGACCTCGGCCCTGACGCTGGTCGCCGTCTTGCCTTGGAGCCCGCATGGCACGAACCTCGCCCAGGGGTTCGACGCCTCGTCCCCGTCGACGACAACGTCCACGTTGAGCGCCGTGCCCAGTCCCGAGATGTGGCGGCGGAGGTGGACACCCATGGCGGCGATCTTGCGCTCCTGGCCTCCTGCCCGGTGCCTCGCGGCTTCGGCCCATACGCCGGGGTCTTCTTCTGAGAGGTATGTCTGGATGGAGGGTCCGTCGGCGAGGATGGCCTGCGTCGTCTCCTCGAGGAGTCTAGCGTAGGAACGGACTGTCAGGTGAGGGTAGTATGTGCTGTGCAGGTCCAATATGGGCCAGAGAACGACTTGGCCCGGTCCGTGATATGTCGTCAATCCTCCGCGGTCCGTCTCGATGACTTTGGGTGTGAACTGCCGCACTTGCAGCCCTGTGCCTCCCGCGTCGTTGTTCCTCTTATCGACTGGGTCTTCATCGACGGCCACATCCAATGGGTGTTGGAGTCGGCCCAGCTGTTCTGGCGTCAGAGACTTTTGCCGTCGGCCGAGGGTGTACGTCGGCGCGGGAGTGAACGAGACGACGAGCGGGGACGGAGCGCGGGGGGTGGGAGCGGATTTCCAGTCGAGGAACGCCTGGCGGAGGGAGGCTTGGAAGTCGGACGCCGAGGTATACGACGGGAATGTGCCCAAAGAGGCATCGAGGTGAATGTGTCGCAGCGCGCTCGGTTCAGCGTCGTCACCTTCGGGGAAGACAAGCTTGGAAATGGGCAGCGAGGAGCTCCATCGTGCCTGATGCTGGGCGTGTCCTGACGGCCTACCCGTTTGGCATGAGAGGCTTCGTATGGACGAGGTGCAGATGCGTTGGAGAGATCGAGGAGGCCCCATTGGCGTGCAGGTATTGGCGAGGGATTGGTTTGGATGAAATATTGCTGGGTCAACGGTAAGGCTGTCGGAGAGAGAGCTTGAACAGAGTTTGGCGGAACGAGCCGGCTGGAACTGTGGATTCCCCGACGTCGGCATCTTATCGATAAGTCTGGGTCGCTGACAGCGCACGAGCCAAGGCGGGACGAGGCCCAGGGTCACCAAGGCATCCTTCCGAAGCTTTTCCCCATCAACAGCCTCCGTCCCCCTCTGTTAACGGGCCTGAGGTCCGGCTCCGAAATGGGATCAAAGGGCCGGATAGCTGTCGAAACAGCTCCGGCGTGGATATCGGCCTTCCCGGATGACTTGTGGAGTGCACCGACGCTTCTTGAATGACGACTCAATTTTCCTCCACTAGTCAGACATCAAGTTCAAAGCGGACAGCCCACAAACACTAGCCGCCTGCCCAGAGACGGTGTGTCGTATCTGCTAAGGAGGTGGTGAGACATTGACGTTTACATTACTGACTCAGCTGGGTGTATCACTCGCTCTCAAGTTGATTACGCAGAAAGTGCTGGCCGACGCTTCAGTGTTGGGACAGCTGACCACCAGACGGGCTGCTCATCATGATGACATGTAGACAGCTCGACGCACCGGAGAGGGTGTGTCAATCAAGGCTCGTAGTGTGCCGAGCCGACGACGGCGTACCGCCAAGTGGGGGAGCCGTATGTGCCGAGTCGATCTGGCGCCGATGCTCAGGAGACGTCGAAGCCATCCATCGGGACAGCACGGCGGGGCCGATGTGTTTTATTTGTCACTCGTAGACGGACCCAAATCTGGTTTGCTGTCAACATGATGGCGGGAGGCAGTTGGAGTCGAGGCCGCGATGCGCCTGTCAAGCTGCAAGGGAGAAGTCAGAGTACCCGCAACATCCGAGAGGTGACGCGAGTAGCACGGGCTAAGCCTCAGTGTGCGAGCTGATTCGCGGTGGGTTGGATTGGGTTGGGTTGGGGGGTTGCTCATTGCACCGCATCTGAGCCACAGTAGTACACATCATCTTTGGCGGCAGGCCGCGCAAGGAGTGGGAGAGCACGAGAAAGCCGTCGGGGCATTGGTGTCGTCGAACGCTGTGGGAATGAGGCCGAAAGAGGAGAAGGCCCTCCCAGACGAGGATCGTCTCCAATGAGGGCGAGGGTCGCGCAAGCTGCCGCGAAGTCTTCATGGGGCTTTCAACGCTGGACACGCAGATGGTGCGGCAGGACAGACAAAGGCCCTGCGTCGACACCCGGGATAAGGAAAAACCCTCGACTCAGGGACGGATTCCGGTGTTTCGTCCCTAGGTCTGCCAGACGACAAGAGGTGGCCTCCTCCTCGGTACGGAGGTTGAGCAGCCCTCGGTACCAGCCGTCCGCTTTAGGACATGTGGCTGCGAGGTCTATCGGATGGAGGGTTGGCTTGTGCAGAATGGAGGTGAAGCAACAGACGAAGGGGGAACAGACCATGCCCATCCGAACCGCAACGAACCTTGCTACCTATCGAGGCCGAGGCCAACCTTGTTTCGACGAAGCTCCCGAGCGGAAGATCGCCAACCTTGTGGGAGCCCAGGAGGGGTTTAGTGCCGTGATAGTCACGAGCGAGAACGGTTGAAAGCGGCCAACAATGGGCCGGGCCAGCTGAGGGACTGAGTCGCGGGAGGTGGTGCGGACTGGTGGTTGGCCCGGCGTGGGAAGAAAAAGCGACGGGGGAAAGAAAAAGAAGGAAAAAAAAGACGACTCTAAACTACATAGTACCTACCTAGATGACGTCGTGGCAGGGTGGAGGCTGGGCCGAGGAAGGTCCCTGCGCTGGCAGTCGACAGCTTCCGTTTTGCGAGGTGCGCGACGAATCAGAGTGGCTCAGGAACCAGGCCGCTAGAGGGAGGGTCCGGTCTGTTGCCCAGCACACTGCGGGCTGGGCCTTGACGACCTTACGGTGTGCGACCGACTTGTGACTGTGCTGTTCTAGCCAACAGGGGTGCGCCGGTACAGTGCGCGATCCTACCAACATACCGCCATGTGGAGCCCGGCAGTGGCTCGGTGGTGTCGTCATGGCCCACGATGCGCTGTCCAACCAGGCGGGAAACAACCAACACCCCAGCTCCATCCATCCAGTGCCCACGAGCTAGGTAAGTCTGCTCGTCTCCAAAGACTCTGCGTGCGCTGGAGCTATCCTCAGTCAGGCCTCACTCGAGGCCGGGGTGCTTTCTTTCTCCCCCGCTAGTTTGGCCTCCCCCCCCCTGGCACACACGCAAACCCGGTTTGCATCATCTGATTGCTCGCCCGTCATCCAATTCTTTCTTCCCTCTCTTCTCATTTTTATCCTCACCCTCCAGACCACTCTCCGAGCGTCCTGCGCTTTCCGTCAGCCTTTCCATCCCGGCACATCTCCAAGCATCCTCTGCAGAACCAACCGGCCGGTCAGACGAATCAGTCCCGAGGACAAGGACATATCAAGCCCCGGGTTCCTCACCACGAGCTCACCCAACCGTCCATCCGCTCATCCATCCACCCACCCTGTACCCATATAATTGCCTAGCTATTGCTCGGCCGAGAACAAGGGTCAGAAGCAAACAGAAACAAACTCGGAAACATAAACCAGAGACACTTCCCCCCCTGGCCTGGCATAACTCCCCCATCCGACTGAAACACATCTGCGAACCTGGTGAGTTAACCCATTGCTTGTCACCATCGCCTCACACACATATCTTGACCCTATTGCCCGTCAGTGACGAGTGTAAATTACTCGGGTGCACGCTGTACGCCGTACGCCGCCTCGTTCCTCAGCTTCGTCGCAATTCCCTGCATTCCTGCGCAACCCCATCATCACCCAAGCTCCGCCGTCTTCTAAACAAACATTTGCTGAGTACAAATCCCTACAGGTTTCCCGTCCCGCCATTAGGTTCCCCCCAGCCATCTCGAGGAATCGCAAACACACCTCGCAAATCAAACATTGATACCCCCAAACAACCGGCAAAATGGTTAAACGTGAGTCGTCTTTCCTCCTCGTCCTCCTCCACCAGCGAGCGAAACATGATCCAGCTTTCCAGACTAACACCGGCATTCCAGACGCCCCCTTGGGTACCGCCGCCATCGTCTTCCTCTCGGGCTCCATCGTCCTCCTCCTCTTCGTCATCCTCTCGGCCGTCCGCGACTCGTCGCCTCTGAACAAGACTTACTTCCTCGAGGCCGACACCTCGGGCATCACCGGTGCCCGCGAGGGCCTCACGCGATGGACCTACTTCTACTACTGCAACGACCAGAACACTGAGTGCTGGGGCGCATGGCCCGCCCCGGCCTTTGGCTGGGCCTGGGGCCGCGACGCCGCCAACGTCCCCTCCGGCCTCGCCGGCAGCCACGGCGGCGGCACCACCAGCACCCAGTACTTTTACCTGTGGCGCTTCGGCTGGGTTATGTACCTGATTGCCCTCTTCTTCATGGCCATGGCCTGGTTCGCCAGCTTCCTCGCCTGCTGCGGCCGCCTCGGCGCCGCCGTCGCCGGCCTGGTCTCCGCCTCGGCCCTCTTCTTCCTGACCGTGGCCGCCGCCCTGATGACGTACGTTGCAGATCTCTCCCCTTCGAACATGCGTAGACTAACAAAATCACAGCGCAACCTTTGTCAAGGCGCGCAACGCATTCCTGTCCGCCGGCCGCGAGGCCCACATCGGCACCTACGCCTTCGGCTTCACCTGGGGCGCCTGGGCCGCCCTCCTCATCGCCACGGTCCTCTTCTGCATCGGCATCCGCGGCGACAAGGGCTACACCGGCGGCAGCCGCTTCGGCCGCAACCGCAGCGTCCGCAGCCGCCGGTCCCTCGACGTCAACAGCGGCCGCCGCGTCAAGGAGGACTATGCATAAAGCGGGGGCCACAACGACGCAACCGCACCCGGTCTGGGATTTTTTTTGGTTTTTTTTTTAAAAAATGGAGTTTTTAACTTGTCTTAATGCGGAGGAGGATATAATGTCGTGTCATGACCCCGAGCGGCGTGTGATGTATTTACGCTTGCGCTTTATCTATTCTCTGCATTTCCGCCGGCGTTGTTTCTAAAGCGTCGTCTTCAGCGGAGGGGGGGGTTTCCTCTTCCGAGGGACTTGGAAGATTGGAAACGATGGAGGGGTGGGAAACCGTTGCCACGGTCCTGGAGTTTTGCGCGTTTCGAGTACCCCGGCTTTGACATGTGCCACTCGTTAAGGAAGTCTACCTAGTTAATAGACTAATCTCACATAATTCACCACGCAATCTCGCCGATGACTTTTTGACACCTTTATGCAAGCGGGAGGCATGATGAGCGGGAGACAGCTCACGTCTGATTGCAGCTTCATATACGGGCTTTCTTTTCGTGTTGTGATTTTTTTTGTGTATTTGAGAAATGGGCCATGATCCGTCTCCGTCCAAGCCGACTATCTGAATAACTCCATCACCGACCCTCCCCCTTCCATCCCACGCACGCGCATCCGATTCGTCGCTTAAAGGCGTGGCGTTTCTTTCCCTTCAGAGTTCACAGGCGCGCGACAATGGAAGGGGCCGAAGCACGTCGTCGCCAGGTTCAATTAGCTTCTTTTTCTTTCTTGTAATCTCAGTTGCCTTTGAATCTTTTATCTTTCTTTCTTTCTGTCCCCCGTACTGATCCTGCTCCATGCTGATTTGTCGTCGTGTATGTTCCTATTCGTCATGAAACTCCCAGCCCACGCAGTACTCCTTCCGTCATGTTTCCCCCGTCGATCAGGATTCAATGAAAAAGTAACATGGAAACATTCGTGCCAAGTCCTTGAGGGAACGCCATCCGCGTCGTATGCTTGGACGGCCCTGACGGCCGCGAGTGTTGCCACTCGAGATACAGAAAAAGAAAACCATGGAAGAGAGGGAAAAACTCCTCCGTTAAGAACACTCCTTCCCATCCAAAGATGTTTGCTGACGATGCAACGTAGAAATACTTGTGAGGGTATGGGACAATTAAGGGAAAAAAAGGCGGCAGGAGCCAGAAAAAGAGGCCAACTGAGACCAGCTCGGTCAGCATGGGAATTTTTCTGAAATCATAATCCTCCCCACCAACCCGCATGGTTTTTGGCTTTTCTCGCAACGACTCTCACTGCAACGGACCGCCCGCCCCAACCAGAGGGCTCACGCTCGGGCTGACGCTGTCCAGCGGTGCGGCGTGGAGTGCCGGCCGTGATGCTGGGGCGACGAGACCCGACCGCTTGCGCTCCAGCACCGACTTGACCCACTCCGCAACTTCCTCATCGTCGGTGCCGGATGATAGCGAGAGTTTGCCAACGGTCTCTGCCACGGCTTCGGCCTCATCTCCCTCCTCAGCCTCCTCGGCGATCGTTTCGATTTTGGAGAAGGGTGCCATCCAGGGGTGTTGAAGCAGCGCGGCGTACGTCGGGCGGTCCTTGGGAATCTTGTTGAGACACTTGTGGACGAAATCGTGCGCCGTGCTGGAGTATCCCTCCTCGGGCAGACCTGGGGGTTCGCCCTCAACAATAGCCTGGAATCTTTGATCAGTTTACATCTTGGAGGGCAGGTTGATAGACTCACGCTCAGTTGGCTGAAAATCGTCGACGATACCTCTGGCGGGTAGGGGTACCGTCCCAAAGCACACTCAATGACCGTCAAGCCCAAGCTCCAGATGTCGCTCTGCACACTGTAGGTGCCATCGGCGCCAGCTGCCATTCCACCTCCCGATATTCTTTCAGGGGCCATGTAACTTTGGCAGCCAATGTTGGTCTTGGCGATACTTGCGACGAGGTTTCCGCTGACACCGAAATCGCAGATCTTGACCTGACCTCTGGAGTTGGCCAAGATGTTTGTGGGTTTGACATCTCTGTGGATGATGTTATGCTCGTCCTTCAAAGACTTGAGGCCCATCACTGTCGAGTAGGTAATCTTCCGTAGCACGCCCTCGGGGATACCGCCATCGTACAGCTTGTCAATAGAACCGCCGTCCATGTACTCAATGCACATGTAAACCGCGCCCTCTTGGAAGAAGGCTCCGTAGAAATCGATGATGTAGGGTGATATACACTCGTGCAAGATGACAAGCTCCTTCAGGATCGTTGTGAACTTGGCCTCCTCCAGCTCCAGTCGGATCTCCTTCATGGCCATCACTCTCCCTGACGTGCCCTCCGGCGCCGCCGACACTGGCGACGAGTCTGCGGACCCGTCGGCTTTCCTAATGGGTGAGGGGTCCGAATGCGCCGTGCCCAGGCTCGCGTGCTTGAACCCACCCAGCCCAGACCCGAAACGAGGTACTTTCGGCTTCGTGTGCTTGACTTTGTAGACGGTACCGTAGTTTCCCTTGCCCAGCTCGTCCATGACCTCGACCTCGTCCAGAGAAATAGTGAAGGCGGTGCCATTGGCAAAGTTGACACCAGTCTTGGTGATGGTCGCGGCGCCGTCAAACGTGATCCAGCCCTTCTCTGAATCAATGTACTTTTTGAAATCGTCCATCTTAGACCCCGTCGTTCCGTTGGGCGCGCCTCCGTTGTTGTCGGAGCCGTGGATATCGGAGAGTTTTGGCGTCGAAGACCCAGGTGAAGAACCGCTCATATCTGACAACTTCATCATAGGCCCACGCCTGGCGGCGAGCGATGGCTTCGTCTGGATGACGGGGGCAGAGCGGGGCATGCCACCGGCAGTCGGTCGGGACATGCCACCCGGTAGCTTAAGATTGCCCGGGATCCCTCCAGGCAAACCGCCGGGTGAGCCTTGGCGAGGCACCGGCGATACCGGCGAGCTCGCCATGGAGTTGGGCGACGGTTGTGACCCCGCAGGCTTGCCCATGCGCTGAGCGTGGAGCGCTCGCGCCCTCGCCATGACTTCGTTCATTGGGCCGCTGCCCATGCTCATCATGGAGGCGGTAGGAGGTGGCCGGCGAGCGTTGCTCAACAGGCCAAGAGGCGTCGAAGAAGGTGTCATATTTTGAGGATCGGAGACGGTTCGCAGTGAAGGTACGCGTTTGGGAAATTCTGGAGCGCTGTCGAGGGGCCCTTCGAGCGGGGTGCTGGCCTCGGAAGAGTCGGCGGAGCCAGGCGACGCGGGGCTGCTCAGTCCATCTCTATCGACTAAGCCATCAGGCGTGACTGGGAAAGAGTCGGGGGTGTTGAGATCCGTCATTGCGAAATACGGCGTGTCCTCGTGGCGGTGACGCAGTTCACGATGAAGGTAGAGGGCGGGGGAAGGAGTCGGGTGTGGTGAAGGGTGTCTCGAATGACCCTAAAGCGTGAGCGGCATGTGGTAGTTCCAAGACAGTAGTAGAACAGCGGGCGATAGTCGAGCACGCAGTAGATATCGAAATGTCGTCGAGTCCAGTCGCACAGAATCGGGGATTGGTAATGGCAACAGCCGATCGCTCAATGGTGAGCGGTGACTGAAGGATCGAAAACTCGGGGGTTGTCGTGAGGAGCTTGCCGCGGGGTCTAGGCACGGCGGTTTGGGTAGTGTGGCCTGCTGCGTAGTCGGGGGGTCGGGCTTGCGACCGGGGCGGTGGCAAGGGCAAACTCTAAGTCGGGGCGAAAATGGAACTGGGCGCGGGCGCGCTAGACCGGCCAGACCGAATTTTTGTTGGGGCTGTTTCTTTTGTCCCCTCTATTTCGATCGTCTGACAGTCTTTCGTGAGCTTTGGGAATCGTGCGGAATGAAGACGAAGAAGAGTTGAGAGAGATGGGATGTGTGGGAGAGGTGTAGGCGCAGGCGCGTCAAAAGAAAAGAGAGGCGAGGACGAGGTGAGGTGAGAGGGGAAGAAGAGGACGGTGATTCGACATGAGGTAAAAAAAGGTAAAGCGGGACAAGGTAGAGAAAGCGTCGCCGGGCAGATAATGTCCCTGCTGAGCTCTACTGGCTCTACTCAGGAGCTAAAAGAGGATGGCGGCGGCCGGGGCAGGAATTGGACGAGGGGGAGGGAAGATGGGTTCAAAATGGCAACGCAATTTTGGTGCAAACGTCACAAAAGGCAGGCAAGGTAAAAGAAGAGGTACCTTGGCCATGTTGGCCCATCTGGATCACGATGCCAGCAGGGGGAGGGGGAAGGTACTTGGAAGTAGCCGAGACGACTTGAAGAAAGTGGGCAACGCCTTCCACAATGGTCAATCCGACCAACCAGACACCACACACAAGCCGGACCAGACATCCGGGCAAGTACCTTGACGTACCTGCCCGGGCTATTGGAAGTGGGCAGGCGACGGAGCAGAGAGATGAAGGCACATAGTTTCCCTATCCTTCCACATGTATCTCCTTGGCGGGGATCCCGTAATGCACTCTGCCACTCTGATAGGTACACTTGCACTTGTTGCGAGGAAGATTCAGGGTTGCCGTTGCCTGCCGCAGCTGATCGGGCAGGGAAAGGAAAGTGGGATATGAATTGGGGGCAGGAAGGAGGAGGCAATGAAGAGAGGGTCGAGATGGAGAAATGAATGCTGCGACAGCAACAGAAACCGGGAAACAGAGATCACCAACGCAGGTAACAGAGACGAGGAAAAATGCGGCTCACTCACCAGTAGTGTGTATATGGGGCGGGTCTAGACCGCTACTGGCCGTTGAGTTGTCGGTTTCTGTGCTCGGCAGGATGAGGCAAAGGCGCGCGCGCGCGCGCGTGTGTGTGTGTGTGTGTGTGTGTGTGTGTGTGTGTGTGTGTGTGTGTGTGTGTGCGTGTGTGGTTGTCCGTGGGCGTGTTGAAGCACTTCAGATGGGACGGGGAGGGGCGGCGGGCGGCGAGCTAGCAGGGCATATATATCGAATCAACTCGGAAGGTCCCCTGAGGTCCCTGAGAAATCAGAGTTGCGCCTTGCAGGAAGGGCGGCAATGATGGAAAGATGCGGTACGTGTGGCCGGTTGAGAGAGACACTCGGGCGCCAATGTTTGGTTTTGGGATGGTTTAATCTGGGAAAGTCAAAGGGAAGATCGAGGCCGCCCTTGTACAGCACAGGTGATGATTCAATGATACCCAATTTGCACCTGGGCAGAGTACATGCCCAAAACACTAGCTCCTGGAACGTTGCCTGTTTGCTCACTAACACCAATACTCACTAGGAACTCCCCCTCAGCCTCTCAGTTCATCCACATTCGGGTATCAAGAACCGTTCCATGTTATTCTTTTTCGGTGGAACCTGACCGGCACTGACCCAACAATGGCAATTCAACATGTTTAATGATGAGGTCAAAGTCGGCACCGCCTTGGAAATCCTGCTTCGAGGCCAGGCACGAAGGTAATGTCAGGGAAGGAACCTCGGGCAGATACACCACGGAAGAAGCAAAAAATGGGGAGGATAAAAAAAACCGATATGTCAGGCCCGGTATCGTAAACGACCTGGAGGCATGTGCAACTCCCGCCGCCGTTGCACCGCCACCTGCATCACCGCCCAGTTTTGTCCCGAGTCTAAACGTCCAAGCTCATCCCGGCGAGCAAGGGTTTCGTCAGTCAGATATCAACATTGCGACAACTCGACAACCAAACGACGGTCAGCTTCATGGCCTTGCCCCCCTTAGCTGTGTCGTCTCCCCTGCGCCAGTCTTTGTCCAGTAAAGACGCGCGCAAGATTTGCTGGGCACAAGCGACGACGGACCCCGTATCAGGCTTCTTCAGTGATCACAGATCACGGCAGGGGGGGGCCGTTGGCAAGATTTTCCACAGGTTACGCATCGACGCGCATGCGCATACTCCCAAATGCTTCCCATGTGGGAAGTGAGCTGCACTGAGCTGCACCGAGCTACCCCTCCACGCTTCTCAAAATAGCAGACGAACCGCTCGAGGGTTTCCTTCCCCAGGAATGATGTAACGCAGGACCGGGTATCGTCCAGCTCCTGGGCGACGAGGCGACGATAGAGAGAGCAGAAAACCAAGCAACAACTATGACACCAGGCTTTTCCCTGCGTGTCTTGTCTTGGATGATGTGACGGAGAAGACTGGGCACACCGCAACAGACATTGCATATCCAAGGCCCTGCCTCTCCACAGTCGAGACATATCGCACGCGAAATATGGCGCCGGAGGATGCTTGCCTCTTGGAGGCAAGCCCAACGATTGGAGGAGACGACGGCGCCCATTGGGCAATTATTCATCTCTTCTCGCCGGGAAGAAGAGATGAAAGTGTCCCCCGCCCCTTGGGACCACCCCGTTGACGCTACGAGCTCTCTAGTGCGTAGAGTACCGTGCCGAAGTAGCCAGTCGTGCATGGCATACTCATCATGGTGGAAGCAACGTCGACCAGTAATCGGACACTCGAGACGTCGAAAGGGGCGACACTAGGCTCCATCAAGGAAAGCTCTGATGGAGGACACCAGGACGTCTCCCTCGTCCCCTCCTTCTCCAAACCGAGCAACCCTGTCACAGGTCCCAGTGCTTCCGCACGCTCGAATGCTGGGTGAGCTACCGGTAGGGGTGCTGGTAAGGAGTGATGACGTTGTTCAGCAGTTTAGCGAGTTGGAGAAGCGGGAGAGAGAGAGAAGAAAGAAAGGACCAAAAAAAAAAGTACTTGTGGCTTGACGGACAAGAGGCGCTAGATTTTTTTCTCTCGTGGGAACATCCACGGCCGCGCTAAGGTACCGGACGTCAGACAGACGCTAGGGGTGAACCCCACTGACGTTGTCCCTCCACCTCCATCGTCCCCAGGACGTTCCATCGATGGGTAGGCATGATTGCCTGCCCGCTAGCCTCGAGGGGGAAAAAATGCCAACGACCTCTGCTCACATCAGACGATATTCAAAGGAGGCACACCGATATTGGATTTGCATCATTGCTCATGCGCCAGAGATTGGAAGAAGCCGGCGCTGGTGAAGAAGCACGACAGTCAGTTGACTTTGCTGCTCGACGTAGTAGCCGTCACAGTCCTTATCTTATCGCCAATAACCACGACCCCGGACGTTTAGCTCCGCCTGTCTGACATCATCCCCAGCGGCCTGTTTGCCAGGTCCAATAACAGGCCGCACGGCGCCCTTTCCGCGCCTCTCGTCAGATTCGTCGTTGCTCTTTTGGCGACTCTGTGGCCGGTCGAGAGCAATTGCGCCATTGTAACTGTCGCGGGGTCTTGGCGTCCACCAATCCGGTGTTGGCCAAGCCAAATTGGCGAAAAGGACACAAATCGACCTTTTTTTTGTGCGGAATCGCCATGGCGCTCGCCCAGCAAGGGAAAATCCCATTCCTGATCTACAGCCCAGCGTCTCTCGCATTGTCTTTCTCCATCCCCCCCATTCTGCCCGCCACCCGGCTTCCTACCCGCGATCCATCGTCGCCTTGCGGCCCATGATACTATGTATATATGCAAACCCAAAGTCAAACAAACCAAAACCAAGGGTCTTCGGCGCCCGATCTTGTCGGCGACTCGTTTGCCATCCAGTCTTGGTACAGATCAAAGTGCTGCGTCCCGCCAGATCGTCCGTGGCGAAATGCCGTTGAAACAGAGTAATCCGATACGGGCATCCCGCCAGGGAACGCCCTGCGCTGCCGGGCGGAGTCCCTGCTGGCCTGCAACCGCACAAAAAACAAAAAGTCAATGGGAAATCCAGCGCGGTCCCTTCTCACGCGTCCCACAAAACCCATCTTTTTTTTCTGTTTCCTGGTTTTTTTTCTCCCATGCGCGTGTTGTCAATGTTATGGATTTCGTGGACAGAAAATGTCATTGGCGCACAATCTCGATAGCTCGGCCTCTGGCGTCATCAGCCACACACACACACACACGCACCCTTTTCGCCGCCCGGATTACACTCCGGCCGCCGCCGCCGCCGCGGATCGTCACCGATCTCGCCCTCCCTCCGTTCCCCACATCTGTCATCTTGTTTCACCCTGAGTCGAGTGACTCTCCCCTCCCCCACGCGCGCCGATCCCGTTGGCAAGGCTTACAGCATCGTGATTGAGGGCGGCCACAATTGCATGTTCTTTTCGAGCGCAGGTTGGGGGCGCGGGTTGATATCATGGAACCCCGTGCACCTTTTGCATATGCTTGTGATTCTCCCAGCGTCAATCGGTGCCGCCTCGGATATTCCAAGATAAGGAAATCGGGACATGAAGTAGATGACGGGCGTAACCACTTTTTCCCCCTCGTGATGCATCTCGCGCTCATTACGTCAGGTCTCATATTTCAACACGTGATACAATGTTATGACGACGGGTTGTGCTTGTGGTGGTGAGATATCACGAAGGATTCCGAGAATGCAAATCCGTTCACGGAACTCGGGTTGTTTCTAGTGCCGGGGTCAGTCAAGCCGGCCAACAGCTCTTTTAGACTAGGTAGAGACAGTCGTATCTATCAGGAGCATGGGACTGTGTTGGACATGGCAGATCATGGCACATTACTCTGTGGATGTTGCTGCTCATCTATAACCACATTTGGTGGGGTGAGCAACGGCTTGATGGCGGACAAGCAGGCTGACGGGCGACATTGCTCAAACGAGCAATGAGGTTCGGTGTAGAGTGCACGATACTGCATGTTGGCGAAGGGAACAGCGTGAATTGCCATTTGAGCTACTGCTCTCATGATCTACTCTCAGTGCCGTAGTGGTATCCAAGTAGCCTCACTTCGACGCGAATTATCTACAGAGCCATGTTGTTTGGTGCATTCCCATCCATACACTTGGACCGGACAACGTGACCCAGGAAATCTCATTGCTTCTGTAACTGCCGGGACATCTTAGATGAGATATGCCAATGGCGGCAAGCAAACATGACGACTGATCATCGTTATCTCAAATCGGAAGGTATGCCCTGGCAAGGGTCATAAAGGCGCACATCATGTTGGGGAGAGTGTATTGACGACTTTGAGGGGTATCTCTGGTGGCGAATTGGGGTATTTCAAAAAGCTGGGTGAAAAATGATGCGTGTCCGGAGGGGTCTTAATCCTCAGTGTATCCATCGCCTGCGTATTTACTCATTAATATGACCATCTAAGAGACGGGGAAGCTCCAGGGAGACTCACAACCTGACGAGGCGGCTCAGGCTCAGAACTCGGTTCAGCCCTGCCAGCGACGTTTGTGAAGTGCCGATAGCCTCGGCTGGCTTCTATCCCCCTTTTCGTCCTGCCGTCGTAATCCTGCAACTCAACGACCCGAAGCCGGTTTCTTGACACTGACCCAGTCATTGTCAACGACCTTGTCCGTGGGACGCGGATCCTCGTACTCGGGAAGCCAGCAGTCATCGTAGTTGTCATCGTCTGTGGTGTCGAGAAGGGTCGCATGCTGAGGACGAGGGCGAAGGTCACGGCGCGCCTTCTTGTGTTGCGCGGCAGCCGTGGTCGCGGTCTTCCCGGTGACAGAGGCCTTGCCAATGGTTTTGTCTGCGGCCTTGCTGGGCTTGGCAGCCTCGATGGCCTCGGGGTTCTTTACCTCCTCTACGAAGGGCATCTGCGTTATGCTGAGCTTCATCTTGAAAGTAAGTGCAGGCTGGTGAGTTTGTATAGCAATTATGGGTTGAGCAGGGTGTTGCAGAGCTGTTTCCTCTCTTGTGAGCTGTTTGTTCTTTTGAGCTTGTCCTCTCCAAGATGGGAAGGATGGTTTTCATTTTGAGACTAGAAGGATGATGTTTATCATCGTGGGCCGAGGGTCTGCGCTCCTGCCTCTACGTTGTTTCGTTATGGTGAATGATATCGTGGTGGTGACTGTTGTGGTGACTGACGATGCGGGCAGGGACACCCGGGTGGCCCTGAGAACAATCGCAGCTGTTCATCCAGCAGTGTAGTTATCACAGCCTGAGACCTGCCAAGGATTCCTGGAGCCGGTGTTCACGGGCCAGCTCGTTATTACTGAACAAGAGCGCAATGTGCTTTGAGGTTTCTCTTGAGTTCACCACCGACAGAGTAACAAGATGCCAGCCAAGGAAAAGGCACCGTCCATTTGGAGCCGTGAACGAACAAACACTCGTTTGCTGCATTAGGCGACTGAGAATATGGCCAAGGTCGGACCTCAGATTTCCTCAAAGAAGAACTTGGGAACTATGAAAGTGAGGCCTGGTATGGTGATCGGGTTCGATGCTGTGGTATGTGTTATGTGATGGCATTCGAAATCATCACAACATCTGCCAAGCAGAGAAGACTTCCTCTCTGAAACAATGATCCGTTGAAAGGCGTGGGAGATGGTGTACCTAGGCATGAAACTGGCATAGATGCCAGCCGTGCGATGGCTGGTCGAGAAGAAACGAGCATCTCGCACAGATGTCGAAGATCTGATAACGAGTCATCCCAAGTGAGGCCAAGTCGCCTCCGCATAGCCTCGCGTAATGCTGCTTGTGCTGAGAGCAGACTTGGCGAGGTGGAAGACCATCATTCCGGCAAGAGATGGCAATCTCGTCCTACATCTGACACGATTCCAGAGTGGACTATGAGCTGTGGTCAAAAAGCGGTAGCTGTAGTCGAAGAGTGGAAGGCATGTACCCTGATGGGATATCTGTGCGTATGTTCAGCGAAACTCAGAGTTACGGTGACAGCCATGGGCCAAGTTGCATGTGAGCAGCGGGGTAAGGGGACTGTCACAGCCTCACTTCGGATGCGCATTGCAACTTGGCAGACAGCAGGGCAAACGGAGCCGAAATTTGACTCCCTGAGTTCGCTGCGGACCGTGGCCAAGAAGCTTAAGTTGCTGGCAAGACCCTTGCGTCTCGGGAGCAGAACTGAGGGTGGTGGGCGATGTCGGAGCTTATTCTAGAAGACGCACAGCGCCACGCCCGAGACTTGGAAGAATAACCGCGGGGACAAGCAGGGTGAAGCAGGTAAGCTTTCGCCACGGTGCCTGGGCAGTGTGTCTGGTATCCCCCATTCGCTCATTCGAAAACGTACCGGGAGATATGAGCAGGCAGGATGGGCATCAGTTGGAATCATGAATTGGGCCCCGATGGATCATCGGTTAGCGGGGCTGCTAACAGGATTCGTGAGGAGTGTGTGTGTTTGCGCTCCGGGCGCTGCGATCCGACCAACTGACGTACGGCGTGCCTTGCGGGAGATGGTCTGATGGTGCGCGCGGATGCAATCGTGTGTGTGCGGTTGTCTCTCGGAGAAGAGTGGTTGGATGTGGCATCCCATATGGACGAGGTTGTATCAGACTATTAGTGTTGTTGCGCCGGTTAATGGCCGTGTGCACGGTGTACTTGCTTTTTGCAACGATATCAGACAACGGATGAATCAAGAAAAGATGGAGGCAGTGGAAAACCGGGAACGCAGACACAAACGGCAGGGTATCGACACGGCGCGTACAGGGAAAAGAAGCAAGGGCGGGCGGGAAACGGTGGAAGGACTGGAGGAACGGGCTTGTTTCTCCAGCTGGGAGTCTGGCGGCGGTGCAGGCCCAACGACGAGGGGCCACGTCCGTCATGGGCATCGACGTCAGGGTAATCTCATTTTGGGATGTCGGTCGTGTGCCAAGGCAATGGCAGCACACTGGCTGCGGCGACGGTGGTGCCAAGAGCCAGGCAGTCGGTCAGCCAGCGTTGCGCTTGCTGCGTTCGTGGCGCATTTTGTTGGACAGTCCGTTCCGTTGGCAGTGTTAGCAGCGTCGTATGCGACCTGTCGAGAATGAACGGTTTTGGTTGGGTTGGATGTGTTGCCACCAGCCAGCGGGAGGATGGAAGGCCGCAAGCGCAGCGTGGTTGCCGCCGAGAAACAAACATTCGAACCGTCGAAAATACCAACTTGGGTTTGATGGGCATGGGGAAATGGCAGTGCGACGAAATGGAAGGGGAGGAAAGCTTGAGAGTCTTGGGGGATTGGAGACGCGTCCAGGCTCGTCGAGGCAGTGGAGGTTCAAGGTACATCGTGGCAGGAGGGCGGAAACAGAGCAGGAATAGCCGGGTGTGCCTTGCATGTAGAGTTTTGGTGGTTGGGGAGGGATCCATGACATGCACTGGAGCCTCCCGGCATGAGTTGCTGAGACGTATCGCTCGGCGTCATCGTGCTCCGGTCCGCACGTCTGATAGGGCGCCAAGCGGGCTCCCTACAGGGTACACTGTACATAACCGGGGGGGGTTGTCCGTTGGGCTGTTCCACCCGCACTGCACGGGAGAGCAAGTGAAGACGGAGAGACGTGTGTGAGGTGTTCCACCAAACCGAGGTGTCAAGACCGCTGAAGCGTCAAGGTGGTGGGTGCTCGCGCGGCTGATACGGTTTCTTTCTCTAGTCGGGTCTGGTCTCGTCTCGAAATGCATACACTAGAAACGGGAGTCTGGTTCCTCCTCCTCCTCCTCCTCCTCCTCCTCCCCCCCCCCCCCCCCCCCCCCCCCCCCCCCCCCCCCCCTGCTCCGACGGTCCTGCTAGCCCACCGGTTCAGCACAGAGTAGGTAGCGTACACCGCAGGTGGTGCTCCCCCTCCCCAATGAAGCAAGACGGTGGTGGAACCGCTGTGAGTGGGTGGGTGGACTGTGTGCTAGGTATCTGTAAAGTGACGGAACCCGTCCCCAGCTGTGAGCTGTCGCTGGAGTGGCACACTGTGAGCCACCTTGATCCCTGGAGCGGCAACCCAGTGCGCGCCATCGCCATTTTGCGCCTTGATTGCCTTTTTGCCTTTTTTAGCTCTGGGCACTCGGCTTTTTTCTCGCCTCGTCCTTTATCAATCAATCCACCTCATATCATCGTGCCTTCCCTCCCGTGGCTGGCTTACTTTCTGCTCGGTCCCTCTGGTGTCGTCTTTACTTTACCTGGCTCCTTCCACTCAACACTGTCTTCACCATCATCGAATACTTTCTCCCTCCCATCTTTCCCGTCTGTTTCGATCCATTAACCATTCTTCTCCATACCTCGCCCGAACCACCCACGACGACCTTCCTCCAAATGTCTCTCTCTGCCAGAGAATGAGAGCTTTGTCGCACACTTCTGGAAAAGGCCGAACTCTACTTTGGAGGCCCGATTCCTACCACCGATAATCTCGTCATCACCGCGTCTTTGCCGTGAAACCACCCAATACCGTCTCCCAAGAGTACAATTGCGAACATAACCTCGCAATCGTCCTATCGCGACCCTTCCGAAACCCCAAACCTGCATCTTCTTGCCTGCTTGGGCTTCCTCTGGCGTCAACGCGCTGCGCCAAGCCCCTCCCGAGAACCTTCCATCAGCTTTGGCCGCCTTGCATCGCCGCCCTCAGCCCCAGCTACATCTATCTCTGTTATCCGTACAGTCTTCGTCCAACGTCTTCCGTCGTTGCGCACTCCTTTGGACTACGCCAGAACAAAACATCACCACCCACAAAATGGACCAGCAGTACTTGACGCCTCCGACGTCGTATCGTCTGGCCGATATGGCTCAAGGCGCCTACGACATGCCACTCATGGCCATGCAGAAGCCGCACGACTCTCACCCCTCCATGGGTAACCTGGTACTCCTTGTCTTCGAGGCTGTCCTTGAGGTTGTTTGTGTCAGCTTGCCCGGCTACATCGTCGCCCGCATGGGCCATTTCGACGCCGACAAGCAGAAGTTCTTGGCCAACCTCAACGTCATGCTCTTTACGCCATGCCTAAGTACGTCTCTGCCAGCCCCTCAAGAACGCAATGATCTTGCTAACGATTTTGCCCAGTCTTCACCAAGCTCGCCTCCCAGCTCAACGCCGACAAGCTCCTCGATCTCGCCGTTATCCCCATCATCTTCGTCATCCAGACCCTCGTCTCGTGGCTCGTCTCTGTTGGCGTCTCGCGCCTCTTTGGCTTTAACCGCCGCGCCTCCAACTTTGTTACGGCCATGGGAGTATTTGGCAACTCCAACTCGCTGCCCATTTCTTTGATCTTGTCTCTCTCACAGACAATCAAGGGGCTGCACTGGGACAAGATTCCCGGGGATAATGACGATGAGGTCGGTGCCCGTGGCATCCTGTACCTATTGATCTTCCAGCAGCTCGGTCAGCTGGTGCGTTGGAGTTGGGGCTACCACGTGCTGCTCGCTCCCAAGGACAAGTACCCCGAGTACCAGGACGAGCGCGTCGAGGAGGGACAGTACGTCAGTGACCGGGAGTCGGCCCCTCTGTTGAACGAGTACGACGACGGCACCGCCTCCTCCCGCAGATCATCTAGTGACGACCTGTCCAACTATGAACCCGCCGGTCGCACTCCTGTTGCTAGCAGATCCAGGGCTTCGCCCGCCGACACCGAAGACGAGGACGACGACTATCCCAAGAAGGCGAAGAAGGCCAATGGCCTCGCCCCCCTCAACGGCAACCATCCCGTTTTCGACGGAACTGGCGATGAGATATCGTCTTTCCCCCGCATTCGTAACACGGATGAACCCGACGTCCCCGAGGGTGTTAAGGGCTATCCTTCCCGCGTTAACAACGCCATTGCATCTGCTAAGCGCTCCACGTCCAACTTCTTCAAGGGCCAGTACGCACGCCTCCCGGTTCCCATCAAGAGGGTCCTCTCGGCACTGAGCCGCGTCGCCGGCAAGTTCTATAATTTCCTCTGGGAGTTCATGAACCCGCCTCTGTGGGCCATGCTTACCGCCGTGGTTGTTGCTTCCGTTCCGGCTCTGCAAAAGATCTTCTTCGAGGAGGGGTCGTTCGTCAAGAACAGTTTCACCGATGCCGTCCAATCAAGCGCTGGAGTCGCCGTTCCTCTGATTCTGGTTGTTCTCGGTGCCAACCTCGCTCGCAACACTCAGAAGAGCGAGAAGCAGCGCGACGCCGAGGAGGAACAAATCGGAACAAAGCTCCTCGTGGCTTCCCTCGTGTGCCGTATGCTTCTGCCGACTCTCATCATGACCCCTGTCCTGGCCATCTTCGCCAAGTATGTGCCAGTCAGCATTCTGGACGACCCCATCTTCGTCATCGTCTGCTTCCTGTTGACCGGTGCGCCGAGCGCCCTTCAACTGGCTCAAATCTGCCAGATCAACGAGGTCTATGAGAGCGTCATGTCAAGGATCCTGTTCCAGAGCTACGTCATATGGTATGTGACCCCCCTTCCTCACCTTTGCATTTGTACCGTCTGCTAACGCCAATCTTAGGATTCTCCCATCTACATTGATTCTTGTCATGTGCGCCCTGGAGGTCGTAGAGTGGGCTGCTTGAACGGCCAAAGCCTTTCTTTTGTTGCAGAGGACTCGTAGTATAGAGCGGAATAATGGTGCTGCTGATTTTCCGGGGGTTTGTCATGGCGTTCAGGTTATCCTCAAGGCACACGACGTGGCCAGGGGCAAAAGCAGAACATAGGTTGGCCCTTCGCCGTGTATTATCACACGACAAGCGAATCGGAGGTATTGGTTTTCAAGCATAGCGACGAAATTTACCATGGTCGATGCTACCACTTGGCGTCGTCGGTTTTGAGCAGTCGCTAGCGATTGTATGTATATCTGTACTAATAAGAACCTGGGCATGGGCTCTGGATCCAAAGTCCCAAAATTCGTGTGCTTTACAACGCATCTTGCCGTAATTCAATACCGATGACTTAGAAAGGGCCAAGACGAACAAATGAGTATGCTTCTTCCCCCGAATGAAATACTTGGGCTTTCCCGTCTACTTTGAGCTTTGAACCTTGGAAGTTTTTGGCCAGCTATTCGTGGCTTCCGTCGCATTCCGTCTCCCTAGGCTGACACGTGGAGACCAACGGCGTCGTTGCATGTTGACCCTTAACCGAGCCCCTTGACAGGGAAGCTTTCCCATCGTTTCGGTGAGAAGCTCCACTATCACGTGACCACACGTCAATCCAAGCCACGGCAGGAAAGAGGGTCGCGGTTTGCGACGCCTGCCACTTCCCTGTATCCCAGTCTCCAGTGTTCAGGCCAATTCGAAAACCCGAACCTGAACCTCAACCCAACATCATCACGTACGAAAATGGCGTCCAGATCAAGATCACCTTCGCGCGACCGCTATCGCTCCCGCACTCGGTCTCCGACGCCGCTGTCCGACCGGTCGCACTCGCCAGTCCGCCGTCGCTCATACGATTCGCGCTCCCCGTCGCGTTCCAGATCGCCCACCCCACGACGAAATGGCAGACACAGGAGCGAGAGTCGCAGCCGCAGCAGAGGGCGCACCGCTAGTCCCGCGGTCAGAAGCACCAAAGTAAGACGCCCTGTGGACGCGAGTTCTATTGCAGTCTCTTTTTTTTTTAATGTGTGAGAAGCTAACTGGATATCCTCCAACAGATAGTCGTCGAACGGCTGACCAAGAATATCAACGAAGACCACTTGGAGGAGATCTTTGGTCAATACGGACGTATCAAAGATCTCGACCTTCCCATTAACAGAACTCGTAAGCCGTCATTGTTATTTCTGCCTGGAGCCCCTTTCCGGCCAAACAAGCCCATTCAATCAGGCTGACACTCCTTCTCCAGATGGCACTAACCGCGGCACTGCCTACATCCTCTATGAAACCGAAGGCGATGCTGAGGAAGCCATTGCCCATATGCATGAGGCGCAGCTTGATGGCGCCGTGATCAACGTCTCAATTGTCCTCCCGCGACGCAAAATCTCCCCAGCACCTCCCCTGGCCCGTCGTGGCGGAGGGTTTGACCCCAGGGGTCCTCCCCCGGAGGTCGTGGCGGCAGAGGCTTAGGCGGACCTCACGGTGGCGGTGGAGGACCTGGCTCCTTCGGTCCAAACGGACCCCGGCGAGGTGCATCGCCTCCGCCTGCTCGGTTCGGCCCCCGTTCAGACACCTACCGGCCTCGTTCGGTGTCGCGTTCCCCGACACGATCCCTGGAGTTGCTCCGCCATCCAGAGGTGGTGGTAGCAGATACAGGAGCCGCTCGAGATCCTACTCCAGATCTGATTCGCCGCCCCAAGGCGTGGAGGCGGTGGCCGAAGCAATGACCGCAATCGCCGGAGAAGGAGCCCGAGTCGAGACAGCTACGATAGCTACGACAGCCGTCGATCCCGGTCTCCAAGCCGAACCCGCGAGCGCGGTGGCCGCGGAGGCGGCCGCGGATACCGATGAGCGAAACATTGAGCGTCACTTGGCAAACGATTAGGTTTCTGATATTTCAAGGCGTTTGGGCGGAACGAGGAAAAGTCGGCTGGGATACCCACCAGGCATACGGCGGCGGGCATGGGCACCTCAGTTGACCCGTAAGACCTGATCATGCCTATACGCATTCTCAACTAATAACGCATAGATGAATGCTTAAACTACCGCTTCTTGACATATGACCTCTCGCCCCCTCGACTCGTGACGCCAATCTGTAGAATCGAACCTGCCTCAATCTCTGGGCTTCGGCGTGCATCCTCGGCTCAGGGATTGTTTAATGATCAAACGAGCCCCAGCAGTGTCAAATGACCAGCAGCGTACCCGCTACTGGGTACCAGATTACGTGACGACTGGGCTTGCGACACATTGGGACATGACAACCTCGTTAGTCGAGCCCTCCTTAGCCCGCTCATTGGACTGCGTTACAACGAATAGGAGGGTTTGGCTCGTTTACCGGACAGTCGTGCTTCGGTGCTTGTTACCCACGCCGCAATCCTTCGGCATATGAAACCAACCCGATGAGCAAAATTCCTTGAATTCTTCCTGTCCGCTCCCGCGATACCTCCAAGTTGTCCCTGTGCCTCTAGCCGAGGATTTTACCAAGTCCCGAAGTCCAAGCCCATTCGAGAGAGATTAGGGCGGATCCTGCTTCGGCGACAGCGATAGAGTGAGACGCCGGGCGAATGAATGGATGATTTATCAGGTGAGCTTACACCGCACCCATCATCTACCCGGGCGCGCCTAACTATACCCCTTTCCCAGGTGGATGGTCAAACGGCTTGTGCTGATGACATATGCGGACATTTTTACTCGGGGTGCTTGCAGCTTTTCATAGTTTAGTAAGCTTCCAGGCTTGGTAATTGTCATTCTCTTGCCAAACGAATCGAAGCCGAGGCACCAGGCAGCAGGTGGCTATTTTGTCCTCCCTCTGACAAAGCCTTGTCATTGCTTACGTCTACAAGGAGGCAGCGACGGCGCTGCCTCCAATGCCATTGTCCCCGGTGTCACCATCATCCAAGGTACGGATATGCACAGTACCCGGAGGGGCGCCACAACTACACGACGACCGATGGAGTCTTCTCATCTTCGAGGTTACACGAATCCTCAAACAGCTTGGGTTCGGCCGCCCTGACAACTGATCTAAACGCGCAACCCCATTTGGCGTATACTATGACCTCCAAGATATGTCCATCGTCATGGGCAGCCACGGACCCAATCATGCTGATCAAGCTGACCCCAAGGCTGGGATGAGCGGCAACGGGCCCTGAGGGCCGATTCACTCACCCACGCAACACACCAGCAGCTCCGCACTCATCGCTGGCCAAGTTTAGCACAGTTGAATGGCCGACGCTCTCAGCAGAAGGGCGGCAACGGCAGCGCCAGAACCGGCAGCCGGGGACAAGATGACATAGTCTCGGCTGTTGGTTAACCCTTGCCCCATTTCCCATTGTTACATTGGGCTTCGACAAAAGGGCTGCATGAGTATGCAACAGGGGTTTTAAGGCCGGAGCGGCCGACAATGACCTCGAATGACCCTTGCGTTGCTCGCGTTCTGGAGGTGCGAAACTCCCGTTCTGACTCAAAAAACTTGCTTTGGAGAATCTTACGGCAGGTAGGCCTTTTGTTAACTAACCCACAGCTAGACGATGCTGGGCCAAAGTTTGGCTGCAGCACAGGAGGAACTCCGCCGGCTTGGTTCTTGGGGTCCGCCTCTTTACCCCAGTCGAATCCCCCACACTGTCCTTTTGGGAGATTTGAGCTGAGCTAGCCAGACAAAACGAGACCAAATGAACTCATCTCACCTTGATCGGCTGCCTTGTAATACTGGGGCTCGATACCCATCCAGGCCGAGCAAAAATGAAACGCCGCGACTGCGGAACGTTCTCGGCCAAACACCAGCATTCCACAAAGTTTGTGGAACGTCGTTGACGCTTGACAAAGCCTCGCAATCCTTCAGCCCTATGGACTTACACCCTCGTCCTGCCCCAACCTGCTGGGTGTAAAGCGTGGGATGTGGCATGCGGGTGTGGTCGAATCCGCCCCATCGGCTCTGCGCTAAACCGCAAATTGCACTCGCCATGCCCTTCGCATCGACTACTTGCTGACATCTTGGGTCCTCTTGGACCTCTTGCCTCCCCACTGATGCTCACTGGGTCTGGGTGTCAGCGTGGCCGCGTCTCATTTTGTCATCCCTCCTTTTTGAGGAGCACTTCTCCGGCTCGAGATTGGACAAGAAGCGTCGAGCCACACCATCCCGGACTCAGTCGTCCCTAGTCCGTTGTCTCTCTGTCTCCAAGCCTCCCAGTTGGGGGGGCCGTCCCGGAACCTCGCCCTACTTTGCAACGGCTTCTGCTCTTTCTCAAATTACGTGTCCCCATCAATCCATTCGGCCGGCCCCGACATGCTCGCGATCCGGATCTAAACATCGACAGGCATACTTGCTCACATGACGGACCATGCCGGCTGGACTCTTACCACCCTCCCATGGTAACCGGGTGAGAGCCAAGGCAGCAAACCTATTAGCATTGCTACCGCCAGCCTGCTTACGGCTGGCTTGTGGAGCAAACGCTCTTCAGTCCCCTCAAAGGCCGGTTGGGTCAGGACCGGGCACTCGGTTCGATTGGTTACACCACAGCGGCTTTCAACGAGGCATATTTCCTCCCCACGTCGGAGTCTGTCAACATCCCGCGCCCTTTCCATGGCTTGCAGGTGCCGTCAGACCTGACCCCGGCCTTTACACCGTTACTATCCATCTCGGGAGTAGGATGTCTTTCCCCTCCCCTACCATGTTTACCCATTCCTGGTGGCGGGGACACACTTCCTATCCGGGCTATTGGGAGTCCTCCCAGCCGTCTGGTTGGCTGTCCCCAGTTCCCGGGTGCCTGGCTGACGTGCTGTATGTGCCTTGACATACCTTTCCTGACGTGGTTTATGTACAGGGAGCAGAATGGGTGTCCCATATAGCAAAACCCCCCCGTTTGCGCGATTCTTGGCGAGGAGCCATTGTAGTTGTCGTGTCGTACAAGGCAGTACCCTTCGCGCTAAGCGCCATGTCAATCGCCGCTTGAAGTCTTGCGAGGGGCGAGGTAGAATGCAGTCGGTGGGCTTGGGGACATGTTGACAAAAGTCTCCGTTTCTGAGTGAGATTAGACACCCTGCCTGGAAGTGACCATCCATCTTGTGTGTGGGTATATGTGTGTGCGTGTGTGTGTGCGTGTCTAAATGGTGAGCCTCACGGACGATCTGTCGACGGAGTATATAGGAGTCCCGTCGTCTTCTATCCGTATGTCTCAGATGGCAGAACTATCACCATAGTCTTCAACCACTCGGAGTTACCATCACTGAGTAACTCATCTCTCAACCCCTTCATTCACCAGCATTGCCTTCGGACTTTGAACCACCTACATCGTCCATACCACCACGCCCCTTATAAAAAACGCCCAACTCGGAAGAGGACTAGAAGCCAAGATGCTGTCCCCCACATACGCGAGCCTCTGTAATAGGGACTACGTCCCAGCCTACGTTTCACACGACGAGGAACAGCACGAACTGAAATCGGAAGACCAAGAACACACTCCCCAAGACGACCCCTTACGTCCCATCGACGTCTTCTCACGCATCAACCTCCTCCCCTCGGCCCCGCCTACCCCGCCGCCCCGTCCGCGTCCCGGCCCGCTAGGGCCCCGCCCGGACGTCCCGACGCCGCCGCCAAGCCCGTGAATGGCTTCGGGTCGCTGAAGGGGGTCCTATATAATGTCTCCCGTATATGGTGACCGAGCTGGGACTGCGGATGATGCCCCCACCAGCACAACTGAGGACACCGTCCATGGCAACCACCCTGACCTTGTGGAGCTTCCCGTGACGCCGGTCAGAGACCCGGCTGACGGGCGCGGTTCTCCGATGGAGCAGCCGTCGAGGCCTCGGAACCCCGTTGATACGCCGAGCAAGGTCTGACATCGACTAGACCCCGGTCGGAATCAGGTCGACGAGAAACCTTTCTTCGGAAATGCGACTTGCACCTTTTACCTTTAGATTTCCTGTTTTTTCTCTCGCTGTTTTCCTTTCCATATATCCTCTGTACTCCTCACTATTTTAGAATCGTTTCCTTTGTTTCTTTGCTTCGGCACAAGACGCAGACGGGGCAAGACGGCACACGCACGCACGAATACGCAGGACATCATCACACTAGACTTGCATTTCTCAGCGAAGGGAAGGGTAGCATATTTCTTTTCTCGGGCGCGGCATGCATTGCGGGGGATAACGAGTTTCACGACCTCGGGGGATCATTCGTTTTCGACTTGTTATTGTCAAAGTAGATCTTGGTGCTCACGTAGAGAATACACATTCACGACCTATTGTGTTTGTTGCTTGAAACCAATGATATTCGTACAATACCGACGGTCCGGTGTCTATGAGGAACTAGAGAATTGCAAATGCTTCCTGGAATGATACCACAACTTACTGGAGTTTCTCATATTGCGAGGGACACTATCAAATCAGGAGTAGAGATGACCCCTGGAGTATGTTGAATCTTCAGGTTTGTTGTTATGTACAATACATCGTCACGTTCCTGGTACGTTCGATTGTTGGGCTAATTCTAATTGCATTCAAATCGGCCACGAAGTCCCATACTACCCACTGAATATACTCATCGTTACAAGAGTCTACAAGACACGCCCAAAGGCATGTGACACCATAGAAGGATCAGGCATTAGTTGAACAGGAAAAAAGCTTGCTGAGAGCTCTCCCGAAACTCACGTTTTACCATGTCAAAATGATTCTATGCTTCCCAACTAGCTCTTTACCCATGCGTCGTTTGCCAACTCTCGTCATTGAGCAGGTGCAGGCAGGCGCCCACTGACGTTGACGTTCTTGGGCCACGAGATGGAACTTTTCTTTGGTTTAGACTCTTTCCATATCTTTTCAAATACCGATCATCTCTTATCGTCATGTTCGTGGCGTTTGGGTTCCGTCTCCATCACCCGACGTTACCGGCGAGGCGCATCCGCAACAGCCTGACCTATTCGTTTACCTAACTTCGATGATTGAATCCCAGTAGTACAATCCTGTTCTTGAGTTGGACGGCTGTTACGGGGCGAATGTGCATCATTCAGTACCTCGAAAATCCAACGTATGAGCCGTCGCGGCCTGCCTTCCATGTCAACAAACGTTATCTGTTGATCGAGTCAAGTCAGCATGCAACCAACTTGAATTGCTATTCACCAAACGGTTGCTAGGGCGCTCTCTGGTTAGCATGACACGAATATCAAAACCCTCACTTCTTCCCATAAGGACCGGCAGCTCCCAAGATCCACGAAACGTCAATGAAAGGCTCATTGAACTCTACGACTCACGAGAGCTGGTAGCGTCTCTCTGAACCCCGTACTCATCCGTCAGGCCAAGGCTAATCGTCCCGAACATCATTGACGCAAGGAAATTCTTCAACCAACGCAAGACCGGCTGTACGTGGAAGAATCTCATTCATTTGGTCTTCACTATCATCCTTCACATCAGCAAACTGACCCTTATGCTATCACAGTCTAGCTAAGTTGTAGATGTGAGCACCATGAAATTATAGAGGCTGATCCAGATACCCATAGAGATCTGGCGTGCGGGCACCCTAAATACCAGCATCTTCCGGCATCAAGTAAACCTGGCATTTGGTTACCATCTGCTGGAAAGGCACCCATACGTTAAGCCTTTCTTACAAGGTACTCCGGGCCAGGACCCTGCGGCAGATTCACATGTAAGAAAACATCTTCACGCCTGAAGAGTTCTGAGAAACTCAACATGACTTTCCACGCCATGGCCCTTTGTACATGTAACTTTGACCTGTGCGGGGAAAGACTTATCCAGTGTCGTTGCAGGACATTCGTCGAGAGTCGTTTACATATTCTTTGAAGTAGTACCTACCCTTGCTGCCTACTTGGCACACCTGGTTTGCGAGAAAACGTCTGAATTATGTGGCTATAGGTTTACAGACCATCCAGATTGAGGAAACATGGTCCAGCGCAGTGAGAGAGGCTTCCCACCCAATCAGTCACTGCTTGCTGTGGGAATCTGCCGGAAAATGCCGAGGCTCATAGTATTATCGTATTCTGACTGAAATGATTGAGAAAAATCGTCATGAAAGCCCTTATTCTGGCGGGCTTGTTCGAGAGAGCTTGTGCCTAAGCACGTCAAGAGAGTCGTGGCCCTGGAGGGGATTTGACGGGCATTCACTTGGAGAGCGGTTTACAGCAGACAGCCATAATGGGAACCTATGCGGCAATTGAAATGTTCTCACATGAACCAGTCTTGAGGATTGAGACGACGAGAGATGCTCCAGCCAAATGTCCGGGGCTGAGTGAGTCGAACTCTGGTAGAATTGCCGGCCGGGGCGGTTCACGGGCCCCCGGGTTTTCACCCAGGCCCGACAGCCTTGAGTCCCGTGTCTAGGTTGCCACATTGCATGTAAGGGACGCTAATACAGAATGCATGGAAACAATTCAGTCGAAGATCCTGAGTATTGCTAAAAGTGCCTCTTGTGACAAAAGTACGCAAGAAGCTGAGAAATCTGTGCAAAACAACGTGGGCGCGGATAGTGGGTGGTGTTTCCCCAAAAGAGCTGCTGTTCGAGTTGCTGATTGAATACATGACTTTTTATCGGTGCCCTGCAGAATCGGCTTCCATTTTTCTCGCTGTTCATCCTCATGGACTTCATCGCTAGAGACGGATTTGATCACTGATCCTCACGATGGCCAAAGTCGGATGTCTTCATAGGGAGAGCATAAGCACCCCACTGGCGCTGGCGTATGGGTGCGGTTCATCAGCAGCGAGTGAAACACTCAATCATCAAACCCCTGCAAGGCCAGGCTGAGCAGGGCGAAACAGGGGCCAAGGGTTTGTCTTGAGAGGCGTATTCCACGTTCCACGGTGAACCGCTTATGCGATGGTCTCCCAACTAACTTTGCGTGGTGCAGCCTGCGGAGGTTGCTTGCCGAGCTCACAATCCCGTTGGCTATCGTGAATCCACTCATCCTGCACTGCAGCTCGTGTCGAGAGCAAACCAAGGAAAGCAACCTTGGCCGTGTTGCCCGGATGGACAGGAAACTCGTATTGCTTCCATGATATGCTTGGCCCACTGTCCGTTCATTTCATCCTTGTCTTTGGATCGTCAAACATTGCGGGAAGCATAAATCAGACTAAGTTAAGCTCCTCTCAAATTCAATTGAATCGGCGGTTCTTGGCGCGGTTGCGACCGAGACACTCTGAAATATGAACATAAGCTTCCGCGTGATATAAGAGCAACAGCCGTAAAACACAGTCTTCCACAACATGCCACTTCCACATGCCTCTTGTCAGATGCTGCCAAACCTACCAGAAGCAACATCTGTTCTACCTTATCAAGAGGGGCTGTCGTGCTGTCCAGCAGTACCGGCGAATAGGCAGTGTCTCCCACTCTGCACTCTTTCTTCTTTCGTGTCGTACCACTTTCCCATGCAGGGCCACATGGTCAATGTAACATCTATGTCTCTCTCGCCCCTGGGATGATCGGCTGGGCCCCATACTACCGGGTTCCACCCGCTATCTCAAGCAAAGATTCGATTCCGATCCCCCGTGCCGTCAGTAGGGCCTCTCAAGGGAGCAGGGCGGAAAGCAGGAGGGCCGTGCTTCTGTAGCGACTTTCGGCGGATTGTTGTCATCGCCAACGGCAAACAGATCTTGGTTGGTCTCCTTCTCGGACACCAGGTTTATCTCTGGCATGCCCACTCCCGACCATCCCAGGAATCCCACCTTTAAGTCAGAATATATAGACCACGGCTCGCCCAGACCACGTCCGAATGCAAGCACCATCACCAGCCGTCCAAGTTTTTGTGTCATGCTCATATCTTGTTGACGCACCGCATATTGGGTCTCGACCCCGAGCTGTCCCAGCTGGCAAGACACCAATCTCGTTGTCGCCCTAGAATCAGACACCTGGTGACCGCGGTGAATTTAACTCCTCTGGTGGCTTTCTGCCAAGCCGTTGTAACAGTGTAGCCCTACCCCAGTTTGATGCCGAAGATCCTCCCCAAGGCCCAACGCTACCTGCAGGACACAGGGTACCCGCTGTTGGTCGAGCAGCTGTGCAGCAGCCTCTTAAGCAGCTCTCCCTTCTCCGACGGGCTGGTCCTTCTTTCGAAGGTTACTTTTTTGCTGTGTTGTTGGTCGTTGCGATATCACCAGCCTCGTCTGCATTTCGTTCGTCTTTCTGATGCTAGTTTGTCGAACACGAGGCGAGAGAGCATTGTCGAGGCTGTGATTCTGCTGTACTTTCGGTTGCTCCTCACACTTTTGTGCATCCCAATTACACGCCACAAACCGCATGATGCGTTCAACGTTCCTTCCGGCAGGCTTGCTCGGCCTCCTGTTGTTGATAGGTTCCGTCGCCACTGAGCAAGATGACCTCGGAAGCGTTCTTCAGTCCAAGTCAAACCTGTCTACCTATTACAACTTAATTAAGGTGCGTCGTGGCGCAATGCTCCTCATCGCCATTCGCAGTCATCTTGTGATCCATTCTGTTTCTTGATCTTGCGTCATCTTGGTCGATTTGGCTTGACAATTAGGAATGACAAGCCTTAGATAGAGGCAACAAGCTTTTGCTAACTCTGACTAGAAATATCCTGAAGTCATCCTTAGACTTCCTAGCTACAACGGCGTCACGGTAAGTTGTCCCCAGCTTCTTTGATCCCAACACACATCTCCTGTACTAACATGATATCCAGATCGTTGCGCCGTCCAACGCGGCTTTCGAGAACATCCCCGGCACCCAACTAAACGGCATCTGGAACGAATCAGATCCCTCAATCGCCGTCCCCATCCTGGAATACCACATCCTGCAAGGCACGGTCTCAACCCGTGCTCTCGAGTTGGGCCCGCCGGTGTTGCGCTCCTCGCTGTTACAGAATCCAGCCTGGACCAACGTCACCGGCGGACAGAACGTCATGGTGAACAAGCAGCCCGGCAACGTGATCGTCTTCACCTCGGCGCAAGGCATCCGTACCACCCAGGTCGAAGGGGACATCAAGTTCGCCGGCGGCCTCATCCAGGTGGTCGACAATCTCCTTATCCCTCCCGTCAGACTGGAGAACACGACCGAATCCTTCAAGCTCCCCGCCTTCCTCGGCGCCTTATACACCGCCAAACTCTTACCTTTGGTGGCAGAGAAGAAGAATGTAACAATCTTCGCCCCTCGCAACGAGGCCTTCCAGCGTGTCGCCGGGTCACTCCAGGACATGGACGAAGACGAGGTCAGGAACTTCCTCAACTACCACGTGGTCAAGGGCCAGATCCTCGCGTCCTCGGACCTGAAGAACGGCACAAACCTTCCTACCCTGGCCAACCAGAGCCTCAACGTCATCCGCTCCGGCAACAACCTCTTCCTCAACTCGGCGCAGATCATCCAGCCGGATATTCTTCTCGCCAACGGTATCATGCACATCGTCGATAACGTCCTGAACCCGGACGTGGCGTCGGCCAAGCCGAATCCTACCGCCGTTAGCCAGGCGCCCGTCTACCCCGAGAGCTCGGCCTCGGGCCTGCCTTTCACCTCGGCGATTCCTTGCACCGTAAGCTGCCCCGTGACGACCACTGCTACTCCCACTGCTGCGGCGTCGACGAGGGCCTCGACAACGGCGGTCCGGACCACCACCAGCCCCGGTGCCGCGGTGCGGACAGGCGTGGCGGCGGGGGCGGCCCTGCTCGCGGGCTTGGCCGCGCTGGCTTGATTCAAAAAGGGGTGTTTTCACGGGTAGAAAGGCTGCGGTATCGCCGTAGAGCTTACAACCAAGCTGTAAATGAACAAAAATGGGAATCGACGTCGGATAGGCGAATGATGAGGCGGGTTACAGCCATGTAGATATCTTGATCCAATACTATTTATGGTCGTATTGGCCATGCCTTATGAGCTTTGTTCGCGCCGAGACTGACCTCGAAGCTTCTCGGGTATGTATAGTGTCATGCTACAAATAACAATACACGGCAGACTCGGGGATTTTTCTTTAATTTGACAAGTGTTTGTCATCGTTTTCTGTCTACCATATGCAGTTCCACCCCACAGCTCTCAGGCTGGGCTGTCCCAGAGCATACGGGCCTCGTGTGTGATAATAGGTCAACTCGAATGCTAGTTGGATTTCGTTAGCACATGAGGTCAATACCAAAGGATAGAGAGGCTGGGCTAATTGAGTTTCACGCCTTTGCCATGAGTGCATCTGCTCATTCATACACCAGACTAGAGACTTTGTCTCAGTTAGTCGGGTTATTCACGGTGATGAACATTAAAATATGAGTAGGTTTACTCACGGTTCTTTCACGAACTGTGAGTAAAGACAGGCTTATGATATCCCACTCGTGAATGTTAGGGGGATACTGAACCCATGGAGACCCGGCGGATCTGCTGCTCGGTCCTGATTTCATTGCTCCTCAGTTGCAGGTTGTGACTCGGAATGAATTCTGGGTAGAAAGACCGCTTGAGGAAATGTAGCATCAAGTATGTTTCAGAGGCCGCAGCTCTGCTCCATGATGAAAGGGCTGGAGAAGTATGGGACCTATTACCAATAGTGTTGTCAAAATAAACATGTCAGCTTAAGTAGATGGTCAATGAACTCATTATCACTTTATGTAAATGAAAGTTTGTAGAACCTCTACAGGTAATTCAATGTTTCACAACACAGCTATATTCTATTCATAACTATCTAAACACGAGGCCAAGCAACCACCGCGAGACACCACAAGCTTTCTTTAGGAGACCTTGAAAACGCTTTCTTTCACAGGGAGAAACTTCTACACGCTGATAGGCCATGGCATACCCAACAAAGGCACGTGATGTCAAAAACCGCCCAATGATTGTTGAAGTCTCAACCATAGTAGTAGAGTAGCTGTCGGAATACATACTCTGCCAGTTTCAGGAACTCTCATCTCCGCCCCCACCTATATCCCGACAAAGTCCTCGAGACATGAGTCTACTGCAACCTCGAGATGACTAGAATTTCTAGACTAATTGTCTGATGACACCGTGACTACTCAAAAGGCCCGGAGGAGGTCCCAAGTAACACCCCAACATCTTAAGCCCATCAACCAACATCACTCATTGCTGCTCAGGCCAAACCACGGCGTCGATCTAACAGCCACAAACAAATCTCCCATACTATCCCGCGTTGTCCAAACAGGAAACAACTCTTGAGACTCGCATCGACTGAGCCTTGACCGATCGGCCCAACTCCAAAACCTGGAATATTCGCCAACACCACACCCAAAGTCATCAACGCCGCAGACCTGCATCTCGCCTCCTCCCCAACCACCGGCCACCACCCACCAGCTGCCAACTAGCAACCGCAAAAGGGCAGTCAGTCGACACCGGGGACAATAAGCCTGATTTACCGGCGTGGCGAACAGGCATGCCCGGCTGCTCAGCTCGCCCGGGATCTTCTGATGTGCCCTCTAAGCCCATGCCGCCAGGCTCTGGCTCCCGCTACCTACCTGTCAGAATCGCTGAATTGTATGCAGAGTACCCTGCCTGCAGCGCCCTAAAGACACAAGAGTTCACGGATCGAAAGACTGCACCCAGGGCCTTTTCCAGGTAAAACGTTGCGGTCCAGGCACAGAATACATGCAGACACCTTTGGCTCAACCATCCATCCACAGGGAAAGGTGGCGCGTAGACACGTATTAGCCACACCACTCCTATCAGATACGAACCGCAGATACGGGTGACGGCACGTTGCCCATAATCTCTCGCTTTATTCACCCCAACTAAAACACACAGCTGGTTGGGCGCGATACCAACAAACGACGAGCTGCGAGGTCGGCTCGATTGGACGAGATGCCTCGGCGCACTAGGCCCAAAACCAATGCGAGACTTGCGCAGCTTGACGTGGTGGGCAGAGGGGAAGAGGCGTCCGGGAGGGTTGGGGTTTGTGTTGTTCCAGTGTGCCTCCCGAAATAACTGGCCATGCGCGCTGCACAGCTTACTGGCCGGGAAAAATATCGAAGCCAGCGTAGAACACGAGATGGAGGGGCAGCCCAAAGGCGGGGTCGTCGAGCTTGTGCAACGGCTAACTGGTCCGTCCTGCCACCACACCCACTGCGAGTACGGTACGGCCATGAACTTTTGCTATGTAAGACCGTCAAGCGTGAGGAATGGATGCAACGCCGACAGAAGCCTTTGAGCTGAGTGGGAGAGACAGAACGAGTGGGCTAGCACGCATAGTCTGTTAGTTCCGGCGGGGGTTATGGTGAAGCCTCGTAGGGGAAGCAGCAGGACCCAGCGACCTACACTTGTTTTTGTTACGCAGCGGAGGCTTCATGCTGTATCACAGTCAGCCCGGTCGACAACAATTTCTGCATTGCAACTAGAGCATTGAGAGGTACCGACTCCGCGGGCTGGGTTCAGCTGGGATCGCTGTTGCATGGGCAAATATTTTCCTTAGACTTTGCAAGGAAGATAGGCAGCCAAGAAGACCACTGCAGTCTGGACTCGTTGAGTCCCGCAAGCTGAAGGCCAGTGGGTCGGTGACGGTCCAAAGCGGGAAGAATAGAGTAGTATCCTTGGACCGCCCGACATGGCCTCATCCAGGCCTGCCATGATGCCGTGAAGCAGCAGCTCAATTCAACTGCTATCGAGAGGCTAACGCATGCACAATGCAGTGTAATCGGCCCTCTTGCCTGGAAGACGCAGACTGCACAGAGTTTGCAAGGACGGCAGCGTCCGAATCAGGACATGAGCTGACAAGTACGTTTGCATTGCAGATGCTCTCATGCGTGCTAATCGATGAGATGTGGTTGACTGAGCTACATTTGGGCCCCGCGCATCAACGAAAGCTAGGCTGACTTGTGCGTCTGGTTCAAAGGCTCAAGTGCCAAGTTGAGAACAACAAAGGCTACCAAGTCCCTGTCGGACGGCCCAAGTTGCTGGAGGCGCCTGTCAGCCCCGGATCGGAACAAAGGAAAGCATCCACTGCCTGGCCGGGAAGCTTCCGGAGTGTCGATCTGCCACGAAGGGTTCCATTCGGCCATCCTAGCGTGGGACTCTGTCGAGAAGCCTGAGCCCAGAACCCGCATTTGTAATGGATTGTCTGACGGCGGGGCCGGCAAAGGCGCCGTCGTCGCTGATGAACCACTTCGTTTGCTGCTCGCCACTCTGGCAGCGAGAACCATTTACGTTGCCGGTCTTCCAGACGAGCTTGAACTGCAGATCGCGTCCGAGCAGCCGGAACAGAGCACAGCCAAGCTTCACCGAGAGAAAACCGCGTGGGAAGGGCTTGTCGGGGGTTTTCTTCACCAAAGCGACTTGGCTAAGCATTGCACACCTCCTCGATGACGATTCGTGTGATATCGAATACGTCTGTTGGGGTCATCCTTGCCGTGGCAACAACTGCAGCAAGGGCTGCAGGAGCGTTGATGCTGCGATAGGGGAGCCCATCCGATGTTTCTGCAGCCCCAACACATTGGAGCTTACTCAAAGGATGGGCGCGTGCTTTCGCTTTGACCTTGGGAGAGCTTGCTTCAGCTGAGCGTTGTTTTCTCAGTCTCGTATCGCTTCCTCCTCCCGTTTGGGAGCCGTGTGCCAAGCGAGCGACAGGCGCGCGGTGGGCCTTTGGACGGCGGCCGGATCTGGATTCCCAGGTTCTTGTCGAGCCGAGCTTTGACGCCATCGTGATATGGCGGCCACGGGGTTTGACATGACGGTGGAAATTGCAGTAGGAAGCCATGAGACAGCCAAGACGGGTTGTGGCAGAGCGGTTCAATACTGTCGGGCGCTATTTGGGGTCTAGTCCTGAAGAGGCAGCGTACCTTATCGCGTCTGTTTTTTTCCGTCCGACCAGCGATTTGACCAGGGACAAGGGGGGTCGGCAAGAAGGGAAGAAAAGACAGACAGGGGTCTTCATGCAGGAACAAGGGCATCGTTGGGCAAAGTGGTGGCCGATGCATGTACGCCACCAAGGCTAGCCGACGCACCAGTGCAAGCGTGGTCCGGGCCAATCTCTTGCTGCTTTTCTGGTCCTCTTTTTGTTTTTTTTCTTCGTCATGGTCTGGCACCCAGAATCAGAGTACCTAGAGCTGCACATGGTAAGCTGGACCCAGAACCCGTCTGGGAAAGCAACGCGCAAACACAGCGGGACGGATAAGGTAGCGGGACAGACAGGGCCAAGGGAGGGCGGAGGGGCAGGGTAAGGGAGAGGCCAGCCGGTACTTGCAGTGGCACTTGGACTACCTAGGTATCATATCAACAAGGCTGTGGGCGAAGCGCGCTGCAAGGTGCCAATAGTGAAGTTTCGTCGTGGCCGTAGTCATGTTGCCGTATCTCTCCATCCAGGGCTTGGTTCTCGATTCCCCGGGCAGCTGAACGGGAAGCGCCGAGATGCAGAGAGAGAGTGTGTCGAGTACCTTAGGGGCATGTCGTTGGGTGGTAGTATTGGATAAACGGCGAGGCCAGACCGGACCCAACGGGACTGGGCTGCTTCAGGTTCGATGCAGAGCAGAGCGGGCACGACAGTGAAGGCGAGGCCGGTGATGAAGCTCGTACGGGTGGTGAGAGACGTTTGGTGGTGAAAGACAAACTGGTTCGGAGCCGTCCAAACTAAACAAACGCCGGATCCAAAGCCAGTGACAATGTGGGGGGGGGGGAGGAGCAGCTTGAACCGAGTGACCCTGCGCTTTGCACTGGGGACGCTGAATGGGACGGGACGCAGAGGAGAACAGGAGGAGTACAGGAGGAGAAGAGGAGGAGAGGAGGAGGAAAAGAGGAGGACAATGGGCAGGGAAGGGGAGACAATGACGGGGGTGGGGCGTACAGTGCGCGGAACCACCCTTCTCATTTCCACCTTTTGCCAGGCATGCATAGTGAGCAGCAAGATCATTAGGCGCCACGAGGTGCGCTAAAGAGAAGCGCCCGGCAGGCGACCGCCGCTAGATGTGCTCAGAGTCCAGCTTCGCATGCACTGGAAAGGGGCTGCCGAAATACCGTATGAGTTCCTGCCACTTTCCCAGAGTCATGCACCGTGTCCGGCATCACCGCTAGGAAGGTAAGGTACGCTGCAGAGAAAGAGCCACCACCACCAAAGGGAACTGGAACTGGAACTGGAACCAAAGGGCCTTGAAGCCGAATCTTGGCTGCTTTTTTTTTTGTCCCGCCTACACCCTCCTCCCCCGGCTGGCCACCCGCTCACGACGAGTCGAGTCGAGTCTTTCATGTGGGAAACAACCCAATCCAGCCAAGGTACTTGAGAAGGTGGCTGAAAGTACCCATCCTCGCACTTGACCCTTCCTGATCTTAGTTCGTCCAGGAGCGTCTTTTCCATCTGCCTGCATCCTCTGCGTTTACCTACCCGGTCTCGCCTCTCGTTCGAAGTCTGACTGTGCTTCTTTCTTCTCCTTCTCCTCCTCGCCTCGTCCGTCGTCGTGAGCAGTACAAATCGTTGTCTTGTCGCTCGTTTGACACTCTCCGACGGTTTTGCACTTCAACCCGAGTCCCTTGGCTTTGCGACAACAGACCGCCACCACCACCACGACACCACATTCGCTTCGTCTTCGTCTCAGTCCTCTGTCCACCTACACCCTTGAGGCAGGCCAGCATTTATTCCCACGAGAGACTTCCACTCCTCTCGCGGCTAGCTGCAAGGCACTCGATACCCTCTCTGCTTTTGCCTCTTCTCCTCTCCATTCCTGCAACGCACACAAAATGGATCAAGACCAGTACGGCCAGAGCTACTTCCCCCGCCCGGGAGCTGGAATGCCCTCAACAGCTACCACGGCCGCCGGCACTCCTCTGCGCCCCGGCACTCCCAACACAGAAAACAGCCGCAACCCCTTTGGCGATGGTGCCGAGTCCCAGGCTTCCCATCGAGGCCCCGTCACCACCAACCCATTCGGCACACCCGCCGTCTCCCGTCCTGCTTCGAGCTTCGGCTCATCCAGCGCCATTGGAACCCGCTTCGACGAGCGTTCCTCGCGTTACTTCCACTCGAGACGTATCCGCAAGGAGGACGTTGAGAAGCCCTGGTTGGACAAGGCCGACCCCAAGGAGAAATGGGTCACCATCATCCCCATCGTCGGCATCTTCATTGGTCTCGCCGTCTCGGGTTTCCTTGTCTGGGACGGTATCCGCAGTGTCGTCAAGCACAAGTACTGCCCTGTGCTCATAGAGGACTTCACCTCGGGCAGCCTCGACTCCAACGTCTGGACCAAGGAGGTGCAGGTTGGCGGCTTTGGGTACGTTGATTCACTCACATTCCTCCCCCGCACTACGCTAACCGCGCCTGCAGCAATGGTGAATTCCAGATGACCACCGCCGACGATGAGAACGTTTTTATCCAAGACGGCAACCTTGTCATTCGTCCCACTCTCACCGATTCGGCTCTCATTGAGAAGGACACGGAGATTGACCTGCTCAAGGATGGAACGTGCACTTCGGACCAGCCCTCGGCCTGCATTGCTGCCACCAACACCACTGCCGGTAACTCCTCCATTGTGCCCCCCACCAAGTCCGGCCGCATCAACACCAAGAAGGGCGCCACCCTTAAGTATGGGCGCGTCGAGGTTGTTGCCAAGCTGCCCAAGGGCGACTGGCTCTGGCCCGCCATCTGGATGATGCCCGTCCAGGACACGTACGGTGCCTGGCCTCTGTCTGGCGAGATTGACATTCTCGAGTCCCGCGGCAACAACTACACGTATGACCAGGGCGGCAACAACATTGCCTCGTCCGCTCTTCACTGGGGTCCCGACCAGGCCAACGACGCTTGGTGGAGAACCAACAACAAGCGCCAGGCCCTGCACACGACCTACTCGGAGGGCTTCAACACTTTTGGCCTCGAGTGGTCCCAGAAATACCTCTTCACCTACATCAACAGCCGTCTGCTCCAGGTTCTCTACACCAACTTTGACGAGCCCATGTGGCAGCGTGGTGACTTCCCCCAGACCAACTCCAACGGCTCCCGCCTGGAGGACGTCTGGAGTCAGACTGGCCGCCCCAACACGCCCTTTGACCAGCGCTTCTACCTCATCATCAACGTCGCCGTCGGAGGCACCAACGGCTGGTTCGAGGATGGCAAGTCTGGCAAGCCGTGGGTTGGAACCAGCCCCAACGCCAAGAAGGACTTTTGGCAGGCCCGCGACCAGTGGCTCCCCACGTGGACCTCGCCCGAGCTTACTGTCTCCAAGGTCTCCATGTGGCAGCAGTGCGACGGCGACGAGGAGCTGTAAAGGCACCGTGGCGCCATCTTTTTCCTTTATTTCTTCGCACAGTGACATATAGACGGGCAACATGCTATATTGGGATAGACGACGGGCGCGCGGTACGGTTTCACCACGGACGGCGATCACTTTGGAATACCAACACGGGATGTTACCCAGGTGCTTCGAGCACTTGTATTTGACGACAATGTCTTGGGTTATGATTGGGATACTGGGAGAATAATTCATCACCATCTATCTACCTTAATGAATTTAGAGAAATTTTACGCACACATGCAGTCTGCGACTCCTCTTCGTGGTTCTGTCTCCGTGACTCTATCTCCATAGCTCCTTGTGCAACTCACTCTACACAGATGACTGACGTGAGCCTCGATAAGCGTGCAGCAGCTAAAACAGACCGCATCGACGTGAGGTCCTGCAGCCCTGCATCCCTGCATCTCGACACTGAAGGCAGGCAAAAGGCCGATGCGGTCATCACCACCATGACGGACACGGACGGGCAGCTGTCAGACGGCATATCTTGTTTTGCCTGGGCCCTTTCAAGCCCGATGCAACAACACACTTGGCTTATCGTACGCAGCAACCCGGACACCTCGCTCGCCAGAGGAGAGAGGGCCTGGAATCAATAAACTCACGCAACCCTGCGGCGGCGGGGGGCCCGCGGCGACTGGGGCTGCACTGCACTGCACAAGCAAACGCACCCGCCGCACCGAGCTGCAGGCAGGCAGGCAGAGACGGCCAAGAAACAAGGGGCCGGGAGACTGGGCCCTGCTGATCCGGCTGGCCGTACGTAGCTGATCAAATCACATCACATTTCGAGCCACTGCTTGCCCCCTCCCCCCAAAAAAAACCAAGATTGATGTGCTGGCCTGCGATGCTATGCAATGCCACCTACTGTGCTCTGTACACTACGCTTGCTGAGCTGAGAGAGAGCGAGAGAGCGTTGTTTATCGCCGGGGCGAGGTCGGCGGTATTGCCACTTGACCCTCTTCCTGCCTGCGCTACCTTACAATGTCCTTTTTTTTCCTTTTTTTTTTCCTTGTTCGAGGTGGGAAATCCCCGCCCCTTCGTGTTCTATGTATGTATGCATGTTTCTGGCTCGGGCGCCCAAGGGGCTGACGATGGAAGACTTCCATCCAGAGGCGTGGATCTTTGGGCGTTACAGATACAGGGTGTGTGTCTCGGTGGTCTACAGAGTGCGGTGCAGAGCAATCGAGGGCCCCGGAATTGCTTCTTTCTGCGGTCTCGGGGAGCAGCGCAGCGCAGCACACGACGGGGGACTGGGGCAAGGCCAAACGACATTGCTCTGCCCCCCGCGCCTCATGTAGAGTTTCTTGAAGAAATACCCATGGAGGGATGACGGCGTCGCGACATGTGTCTCGTTCTCTATTGCAGTACTGAATCAGAGGGGTTTTGGATCAGCCTTTCGTCATGAGACGGGGGCTCAATAGCCTCCTCCTTCTCCTCCCTTTTGCATCGCGATGGGCGAGACGGAGGGGGACGGGGGGGGGTACTTAGACACGGGCGAGTCGGTTTCCAAACTGGAAAAACTGGGTAGGGCGGGTGGCACAAGGGCGGATGAACCATGTGGCGGAGAAATAGGTAGAGAGAGCCTCTCGAAACCACTCCTTGAGACTGTTGTCTGGCAGGCAGCGGTCTCTGGGGGCCCCTCCATGGCCGTCCGCGTATCATTGAACAATCGCACTTCGGGCCTGCGACCGAGACGGTAGCTTCAGGTCGAGGTTCGATGTCATCACCGTGGTGGGTGGGCCTTCCCCCCCCGTCGTCTCCCCCGTCCGTGGCTAGCGTCCGCAGTGTCTCCGATGAGAAACTGAAGCTAGCGAGTGGGAATCAGCATGGGAAACAAAGACATGCGCGCTGATTGCCCTTTGTAGGTATGTGGTTATGTGGTGATGCGAATCAGCGCCCCGATCCACACGGCACTCTCGCGAGTCACCAAGCAGGCGGCGGAGCGAAGGGGGGAGAAGGGCGTGCGGTAGCGGAGACTCTCGGGGGTTTAACTTTTTATTTTTATTTTTTGGTTCTCAATTAGGATATTCTTGTTTGGGGGTTTCACTCGCGGCGTGGATACGGACTCGTGAAAAAGGTTGTTTTAGCTCGTGGGTTCAGCGTGTTTCTCTGGATCCTCTGGCAAGGGTCCAACTCGGTGGACAGCCAGCCCCCCGTGGAACCCGAACAAAGACGCGAGGCCAGGGGGGGAGGATGGGGATACTGTGGGAGCGTAGAAAACGTGATGGGACTGTTGGACGCCGCGGGTTCCCAGTGCGGACCTCTACTCGCCCAAGTACACTATTTACCACCATGTGTTTTTTCTGGTTGGGCTTTCCCAGGATGATGCCTATGCCAACCTGGAAAGTGGGAACCTCTGGCCGGTGCGCGATGCTGCTTTGTGCCCGGCCGCTTGGGAAACAGGCGGGACAGCGACGGACGCCGAACTGGGATTGGGCCTGGACCAGCCCTCCTCCCAGGATGTCGATGGAGGGGCGTTTCGTTTCCCAGCGAGGCCGTACATGGAGGTTCCCGGTTCCTGCTATATTCTTTTTCCATGCCCGCGAAATTGCACATCTGCGAGTCTGCGAGCCGTTTGTTGGTTTGCTCGTCACTTGGGGGGAGGGGGGGCATTCTAGCCAAGCCCCAAAGGCGTCTCGGTACGTTGGCGGATCTTGATACCTGTGCGGCACGCAGGCATGCTTTCTTCTGCCGCATCTACGGCACACTGGCCTGCCATGGTATTTTTGGACAACGTCCGGTGTACATATCGATTTCGTCGCACAAGCCCCATACCAAATACGACGAGCTGTTTCCACGTCACAGACCCCTCGGTACGAGCCGTAACGCAGCGCTCGAGAATCCCACGTCGACGGTGCGGGCGGGGTTCGTTGCGGGCGGCTGGCATCTCTGCTCCGGCTCTCCGGGTGCGACTTGGAGTCGTATGAGCAGCATTTGCTGCCTGGCAGGCTGTTATCAAAGTTGTGAATGCGCCCTCGTTTGGACGCGTGGCATAGCTCTTCGTGGGATCTCCCACGGACCTTTTCGCCGCCGCCCGCATCCTCATCTCAGCCCGCCACAAGAGATTCGAACCCCCGTCTCGCCTGCGCGATATACCGGAGTGATTGCTATATCCAGGGAAGTTCCCCAGCCGGGCTCGCCATGGCAATCAGTGGACAAACGATGGAGAAACGCCGCCTTGACCTCAGCTCGGAAAAAAAAATGGGCTGATGGGTGGACTGTAGCTTCTCTGATTGTCCAAATCTTGGACGAGTCTTGACAAGGGACTGGCGTTTGCCTCCGGAGGATCCGCACGTACTACCGGTATGTAGGCACTGGTTCCTACCTCCCCCATGCCGGTGGGTCGGAAGATCCCCAGGGGCCCGAGGAATTTCGCCGATGAGCTAGCCAAGCTGCCATGTTGGCATGTTGGCAAGAGGGTGATGGCAGCTTGCCGACGAGAGAGGCAAGATTGTTGTGTCGTAAGGCGGCCGTCACCTACCAAAGGTGCCCGCCAAGGGCTCCGCCGAGCTGTCAGTCACGCTGGGCCATGTGGGTAGTGCCTGATTGTGCAAGCGGTGCGTGTCGAGCTGGCGTCCCAGGTGCCGGTCGATGACTCGGCAGAGAGGCGGCCAGGCGGGTTGAAGCAGCTCTGTCAGACACCGGTGCCATGCGTCGCCCACATGTAAGATTGCGATATCCTACGGACCGCCGCCGTATCTCGACAGGGGAGGGGCTCCAAATGTGAAGCCTAGAATCACATAATGAGAGGGGCTCAGGTGAGGGACTATCTAGTAAGCCCGTCAAAGCTTGTATGCCCGGCAGGATGGACCGCATTTCCCATTCTGGGAATGGGCAGCGTACCAGGCCACGAGTGACAATCATTCACCGGCGCGGGATGCGTTACTTGGGGATTAGTTCGAGCAACAGGTTGCTGGTTATCTTACGACGACCCGGAACGGCGGTTGAGTTGAAATGAGAAGAACGCCACGAGCGAGTCGCTTGAGATGCTCCCACGTTGCGAAACCCCATTACCAGGGTTGCGGCTGAGGGCTGGGTTCCTCATGGGACTACCCTGAATCAAACAGTCGCGTCGGTTGTGGAAAACGACGTTCCTTTCCCTATCGCTGCCCTTCTCCCGGAAGGGACTGTGCAAAGGCGACGGTCCAGCTAGACGGGACTGGCTGGAGAAGCCGCGTGGTGTTCCCCTGAGTTTGGAGCGCGCCAAAGCCTCCTGCCCCTTATCGTTGCCTGGGTGGAAATTGGAGATCCAGCCACGATATCTGACATCGCGACGATGCTGGCCGCTGATTGGGTGCGAAGCCGTCGAGGAAAGAAGAAAGTGAGTTGTGGATGCCGGTGCCACGAATCCTGGCAGAGGTCAAAAAAGCTTGTGTGTTCCGCGAGAAGAATGGGGGGGGCCTGGCTGGAAGACGAAGCCGGCCACTAGCAAAACACGACTGGAGTAAGCATGCTGTCGGCGGTGACGAGAGCGTGATCTGATGTACCCAAGCCAGTGCGGTTAGGAGTAGCAGAACCGTAGGCGATAGCTTGAGATAGTGGTCCTTGATAAGCTTATTTGCGTTGGAAGGTAAGGGGCCATGCTGATAATGGAGAGGACATCGTCCTCGCTTACGGCAGCAAACCCCTGTATCCATGTGGGATGCATGGTGAAGGCCTCGCTGGATTCTTGTAAAGTCCAAAGTCCCAAGTCGTCACGCCCAATGGATGACTGATTGGGAGCCTCACGGCCGTTGCGTTGTCGGCACGTCCCATCGCACCACCACCATCGCTGCCGGCCAGAATCTTGATTTCCGTGCCGTTCCTGCAAGAGATCCCAACGGCGAATGAGTTGACTGGCTGATCGGGCGTAAGAGTGAGTGAGAGTGTGTGTGGCTTTGAGGGCCGCGGATTGGTGGGCTTGCACCCTGTCCCGTCTGCAACCTTCTCTTGCTGCAAGTCCATGGTCGAATACGAAGAATTGGCGTGTTGGACAACAC